TCTTCTAGGATTCGGAATGCTTAAGTACCTTCTGGCAAATTTCTGCATTGAGATCGAATCGTATTATACCCGTTTTATTTGATGTTGCAAGATGATGTGGCGAAGGTCTCTGACAAATCCTGTGATTGCTTAAAATTTTGAAAACATTCCCAGTTATTCAGCTGCGTTTTTAAAAACGTAATACATAAGAGCAAAACACGAAAGAAAAAAGCTGGAATAAAAAAAAAATTATGTTTCTCGCGGACGTAAAGTTACGGCATAAATAATTATATTAAGATGAAATAAGAAATCCTTATATTAAATTCGTATGGAAATCAGAACGACGATAACAGAACCCAGAACATGGCGACAATATAATGATCTTGGTAATGCAAAATTTGCTTGAAGAGTTAAGTTTCATTGGAACTTTAAGACTCCCGAAGAATACACTCTCGACCGAACCCTTCGCACGCTGTGCTCGCGTAATTCCTAATCTCCTAATCTGTGTAATATTATACTATAGTATAGACCTGTGAATCTGCAATACACAGAACTTTTTTGCTATGAGAATTTTCTCGGAAGAATCTTGGCATAGGCAAACACCATATTTTGCCCGGTCTACAAAAAATTTAATTCACGGCTGAGGATGCAAGATTGTAAAAAGTTGAAAAAGCGGTGAATATAAATCATGTCGATTTCATTTTAATAAGAGATATCATAATAATGTGATGGACAACGAATACAAAAAACAAACTACCGCTCTTTGATCCAAAAAGAACTCTGGAACTGTTCAATGATATTAAGCTAACAATAAAAGTTATACTTAACATTGCCGTTTACTGTGCACGGTCTCTCTCGAGTTGTTGAGTGCAAACAAAACACCTATCTGTGTGGTCAGTTATTGTTTTTGTGTATACATGAACCTAAACATGTCTACAATACAAGTGCAGTTGTACTCAGGGCCGGACTCAGTAGTAATTTGGTGTCCGGAAACTGATATAGATACTGATACAGATCCAGTATGGACAAGGAGGACAGAATCGAAATCTCGCCGGTGTGTAGAATTACGATTTGTAACCAATTGCAACTCGTGTTACCAAGCAACATTGTGTACACTGTACTTAAGGAGAGAAAAGATGTTAAGGAGAATAATTCAATCATGTTTGCACATTCATAATATTGATTGAAATCTATTTCTTCCGGAGTACGTTCACGCTCGTTAAAGAAAATTATTGGATTTTAAGACAACATTTTAATCATAGATTTTGCGAAAAACAGACGCGTACTGATAAAGATGTAATGATGATTTGAAACATTGCTTTTCCCTGGTTTTAGCAAATCATAGGCAAATAGCTGGTAGCAAAACAACTGTATGCTACCCACCCGAGCCGGCCCTGACTGATCACAACGCCCATTGTGGTTCAGACGAATCAATGCCAGTCTCTATTTTTAATCATACCGAACCAACGACCTGTTTATTTTAATACTACGTACGTCTGAGTATTTATATCATTTTATTTTGATTCATGTACAAAAAAAAATAATTTCTCTATGTATTGAACTTGGTAATTCAAGTCATCTACATATTTCGAAAAGTGTACATTTTTGTGAAACAATAATTATTATTAGTCTACGTGAAACACTCGTTACAAAAAGTTATTCCTGGATCTCCAAATTCCTTCCAAATTTATAAGAGATTAATTATCCGTTTCTCAAAAGCACTTGTACATTTCGGAGTCTGAAAGAAATTTAATCCTAGTTAGCAGTTGTTTGGGATTTACGAATTAAAAGATGGCATGATAATGTTTAATTAGAAGATTAGCTCAGAGTTCATAGACTTTTTGTATTTAAATATTAGGAAAAAAAATTAAACCAACTTTATAAGACGTGTATTATAAATGTATTAACGGAGATTTTGTGTATATAGTTTTTTATTATTAGACGCCCCACTTCAATAGAAGTTACATGAACATAATATACGTACCGATACTTTTAATTATATGCATATAAATATAGAATTATATCTTTTGTTTTATTTCGATGACATAAATGTGTCGTCCAAGCATTTTTTGTTATTTGGACGAATGCTTCCAGTTATTTTGATAGAAAAAATTAAACTACAAATACAAGCTACACAAGAATGCATACATAATTATTATATTTCATCAAATTTTGCATTCACGATTCTATATGTATTGATATTCATATTAAATAGGAATGCTTAAAAAAATCCATCATCTAAATTATAGAATCACCTAGAAATAAGATCTTTTTATAATACTTTAAATAATTATAGATAAATTATTGTTTAAATAAAAGTGTATTCACAAAATAAGTAGGGAAAATAAATAGTAGAAATATCATAAATACTGTTATTAAAGTACTTGTGACATACGACTGATTGATATGAATAGCAAAAAACGTTGACCGGGGACATTTCATTCACTAGAAAAATATAAAACAAGTTCACGGTCGGCCGTGAATCAAACTCGGGCCCCTTACTGACCATATTTCATGCACTTTGCCCTCAGAACTCATCTTTTAATTAATTACATTCTTTTATTTTGCTATCGCACAGTAGACGTGACGTCATAATCTAGTTTACCATAATCGAGCTGGGCAAGAGTGATGATATGTTGAAGACGATCTGATGATGAACGCTGAAGGTAGCCATGAGGCTCTTTAATTAAATTTAGCATCAAACTGGGACCGTTTGATTAGTCTTAACAATTAGTTAAGTCAGTGATAAGTGATAAAAAAATCAAGGGTTGGACACTGACGCTGGTAGGTAGCCATGGAAGTTTGTCATTGAATAACCAACCGTGTAGTTTGAGCTTGTTTGATGTTTGCTTGTTTACTTTAACAAAAATATTTTTAAAATTGCTTGCTTTAATAAAAATATTTTGCATTATTGCAGAGTTGCGAAATATGTGATAAATATAAAACATGTACACATACCCTAACATTTTAATAAAATAGATTTCTTACCACATAATTAAAGCACATCGCAGTAATGAGAAGAAAATATCAAATTAACACATTCATTATTATATTTAAAAAAAAAAGATTTAATGAAAATAACCATTTTTCATTAAATCGCTTTTTATTTCTAATTAAAAATCCTTTTTGTCCCTTATAAAAATAAAATATAATAAAAAGGATTTGAAATCAACTAGGTACAATAATTTAACAGATTTTTTAAAATTATGATTTGTTCCATATCGTATATAGAATTTCTGCCACTGTCCAAAAGTCAAAATATCTTAATACAAATAAACTTATTTAAAGTACTTTCTAAATCGTCCAACATTTTTCCCTACCACTTGTTCAGTACGTCTTTTAACTGATAAGAAGAATGATCGAAAGAAACTTCACCAGCTCTTTGTGTTCTGTGGTATAATCTGATATGTTGTTGTCTGTACATTATACCTATTATATATACGAGGTAGTTCCTGTCTTCGTTTAAAATAATAATCGTACAATACACAATGTCAAAACTTTGCACACTTCCATAGAATACAAGTTTTAATTAATGCTAATTAAAACTTCCTAACTGTGCCTCTGGTACGTGTACGATTTGGGCGCTAAATATCTTATAACTCTAGCTGCAAGCAGTGGCGCCTAAAAGAGTTAAGGCCTTAGCCACAGTAGGCCCGGGCCTAGGGCGGCCAAATATTAGGAGCGGCCTATATTCGTATAAAACATGTGAGTGCAAATAGCAAAGTGATGGAAACCAAAAAATGAGCTCTGAAAAAGAGTTTCGTAATAGTTGAAAGTTATTTTATTTCAAAATTATAAGTAATTATTGATTTCTTATATTTTCACGCGCACTATCCATAATTACAACTTAATCTTAAGTGAACGCGGAACCTGTAAATGATCCGAAACGTCAATAAAACTAAATACAAAAGCGATGAAATCGTTTAAATTTGTTTCATTTATAAGTAGTTAGTTTATAAAAAAATATTCTTACCCATTTAATGGAACAAATATATTCAATAGAGATTACTCTACTGTACCGAAAGTGGATAAGGTCCGTACATTGTGACGATCGGTCCTCTCTGCCTACCCCGCAAGCGATACGGCGTGAAATTATAGATAGAAACAGATTCAGCAATGCAATGTAATCCTCCTATTGCAGGCATATCTATTCTACACTGACATAATAAATACCAACAGCTATTAGATATAAACATACCTAGATTGAATCTATTTCAAGAATTTTTGCCAAGATATGCAGTGCCTAAATTATGAGAGCAAAAAAGGAGTAACTAACGTACTAAATGCCCTAGAGCGGCAAAGCCTGCAAATCCAGCTCTGCCTACAGGCATTCTAGCATTCAGGAGTAGCTACTTCCGACACCGTACCTAGCTGAATACGTTCAGAATCTATTGAATGGACGCTTTCGGCGTCCGAGATACGGCGGAATGTCTAGCTAGTTATTATTCTGAAGATGAGTCGTGTGGCCGTTTATATAATATAAACTATATATCGAAGATTATGGACGCCACTAATGTTGAATCTTTAAACCTACATTAGATACAAAAGGCACTTTATTAGAATTACATATTTTACCATGAGCCCTTTAGAAGTTTATAGAATAAAGATCAGCTTTTATTATCTATATATCGATACTTCTTCCTATTCCCACAGAATCTTCCCAAGCATAAAAAAAAAACTAAATTTTCAGTTAATATGAATAAGAAATTAGAGGAAAGACGAAATATATTAATTGGAAAAAATATTGTAGCTTTCAATTGGGGCCTATATTTACCTGATACGCATGATTACCTATAGTATATAACTTTGATACGATTCGACGATGCTTTTAGCGCAAACATCGTCGAACCATTAGAATAAAACTTATCAAAAAAGATATTTTTGACGGCGAAAGAACACTCTAACATGTCAAATAAACAAATATACCTAGTGTTCTTATTCTAAAACTATATTGATGTCATACATGATGAATTTTTCGCAAGTAGTTGATTAACATAATAATTATTATTCATATCACTTACCGATAGAGTGTGCCCGAATGTATTTTCTTTACGCTATCCATTTCAGTTGTGCTGTGTTGCTCATGTCTCTATTCAAGGTAGTTGCTTAATTGCTATTTGGTATATTAAAAAATAAAATCATTATGAGCTGCTGTGAATAATACTGAAGGTAAGTTGAGGTCACCTAGAACAAATAAAACAATTATTTAACAAAAAAACTTATTATTACATAAAAATAACTCACAGCATCAGTATATATATTTCTTTAATATAAATATTAAGTTTGTAATTGTTATATTTAATGATTTTTGCATTCACAATGCAATACTGAAATATATTCTTAATAAAAAATTCAAAAAAAATACACCTTTTTCTTGGTACTCTCTGATCTAAGATGAAAGATGCAATAACATCATCATGGGCCAATTAATGTTGGAACATCCCAGTAGCAGAGAGAACCTTCCGTGGAACAAATCAAATAAAGACAATGAGCCATAACCCACTAAATAAGCTCAATGTGAGTTAGTGGGTATTAATGACTGCAGATGCAGCTGGGTCGTGGCAACATACTTTCCAAAGATCAAAATAATATTTTTTTGGTCACCCATTTAATGCCTGGAACATTGCTTAACATCTGAATCACAGGCTGAACTGATACACTAACTTCACATACTTTTACTTGTACAATTTACTAGTCAATGTTATTAATAAACATTGTTGGAATCGCAGTCACACTCAAATTTGCATAGACTTAGTTGTACTATACTCCAGTATAATTGTACTATACTTCAAATTTTGTACTTGTACTATACTGGAATTAATTAGGGAATGATATGAATTTATAATATAATCTTTTGAATGTCATTAGAGAAATAAAAAAGCAATATTTAGTTCCCAAAAATAGAAAATACAATAGTACAAAAATGAGAAAGACATTCTAAATGTGCTTTTGTTTACTTTAGCAGCTACACAATTAGAAAGCTGATAATTTGCTATTGTTTAATCTCAGAGCCTCATATTATAGCAATTTCACTTAATAGAGGTTAATTAAAAAAAAACAAGTATAATATTTTTTTTAATATTTAGAATTATTTTACAAATTTAAACAGTAACAAAATATATGTTACATATGACATTAACAACTAGCCTTTTAGAAATTGGGAAGAATGCTACATTACAAGTCATTTATATGGTTATGCTGGACATTTGGTATTTTATGTAATAAAAAAATATAAAGTTATAATTTCTCCTGTGAATAATAACATAATAAGTTCACCCAGATTGCAAAAGGTCATGTATTTGAAAAAATTATTTCTTACGGCTGTTTGGGTGAATTGCCATATGAAAATATGCTCTGTAGTTGCAAAAAAGTAACAAGTGCTTGAATAATTTATCAGTCCTGTTAGGTCCTGGGTAGCTCAATGGTTAGAGTAGTCCCCCGGATTACGACAGGTCATGGGTTTGAGTACCATCTCAGAGTGCTAGTGACAAAGTGGACTTTAAACATTTTTCATTATAATAATTTTACTTCTGTTATCTTAGTTGTAAGCAGAATTTTAAAATTAATTTGACAGGATTAAAAGTAAATTTAGTCTAGTTTGTGCAACAGAACCACCAATAATACCTTTTTTTTTTATAAAAATGGTGTCTTATATCTGTTAAGTAAGCCTGCAATTAATTGTTATGGTTTTATTTTTAACTTAAATGTGTGTCTTTCTTTTAAATATTTAAACAATTTGTTAATAGTTAACAATTCTTTTAGCTGGCCTATCACTAAGAAACAATGAAATATACAACATGTATGAAGTATGTTACTAACAACAATTAAAAAATGACTCAACCTCCTTTGATAGTATTCTCCTCTTTTGTATATTTACAGAAATCCTGAATCTTCCTACAATATAGTTATGATGTCAAAAACAAGCATTACATGATATGAATCTAACTAGTAACATTGACGATAAATATTTTTTACATTTACAAATACTTAGGTTAATTCACTTTTTATGTACACACATATACACATAGGATATTCTCCATGATTTAAACAATGACTGATAAATTAGACAATTAAGCAATTTTAGTCAGAGAAAAGTCATGTTTGCAATTCACATATAGGACATGATGTGTTAATATTTAGAGTTCTGTAAGATTTTTTAGGATATTTAGATATTTTTGTTATTGATATGTTTATTACTTAGTACATTATAGAAAAGTTTAAATAGTAACACAACTCATATTTTGCCTAATAACTGAAATAGAATATTTTGGAATTTTATGCGTAATAAAATATAATAAGCATCACGTCAATAAAATATACAAATTCACTGAATGATTCCACAGTACAGTACGATGAAGACTAGTTATTTTAAAAGGAGAAAACTTTCTATTTCTTTTGTTTAAAAAATCACTTGACCCATGATAGTGGCTAATCTTCAAGTAGAATACACATAGTCGTGTGTTATCGACACGTAAATAAGACGAAATCTTTAACACTCACCGAAAATGGCTACAATCTTTCAAAAACGAAACCCAATAACAATCACTTCACAACGTTTTCAAATAAACAGAACGTGAGATCGCTTTTTACACAATCATTTTCTCATATGAATGCACTTTCCAACAGCTTTTACTATTACGGCCCCTACTAAAGCAAGTAGTACAAACAGGCATGAAAAATACCTTACGATTGACGTACTTACTATACGTAGGGAGCGGTCGGAATGCAATCGGTCTCGATATTCTAGTAATAAAAGAAGCAACAGATTCACACTTACAAAAAAACCAAGCACCAAACAATAACACTTATTTCAATCCATTTACAAGAATCTCACTATTCGTCATGAAATAATAATTTGGGCGACAACGAAGCGAAATCGTTCCCCGACCCTTCACTCACAGTATATCAATCCATAGACAATTTTTACTTTTCTTTCAATATCAATAAAGCAAAAGAATCTCATAGACTTCGTAAAAATAGAAACCTATCATACTTCTCTATAACCAATATTTTAAGCTCACGTTGGGCTAATTTTATAATAATATTGTCGTATTATTTCATGACTGATTAGATATCACAAAAAATATGAGCACTACAACACTAGATAAACTTGAAAACATTTAACATTTGTATAATGTTAGTTACTAAAACCTTTCGAGTTTTTAGCTCAGATTTTGAGTAACATAAAAACAATTCAACTAGGTTAAATCAATGAGGAAGACTTCCAAAATAAACATTAGTTCCTGAAATCACACTAGATGTCGCTACGGTACGTTCTTGATTTCTCCATGACAACCCTTCCAGTTTTCTTTCATGTTTAAAAGTAAATTAGTTTTCAAAACTCAATAAACAACTCATATTCTATTTGAACTTTTTTGTATTTGTACTGATATCTAAGTTTGATATTTAACGGAAATTACTGTCTTTGGTCCATTCGAGTCTTGCGAAAATTAACTTTTGCTAGAATCGCCATCTAGTGGAGATACCTTTTTAGTGCTTTCGTTTTTTTTAAATACTTCCTCATTCCTTTTAAGACGATTGATGTTGTATAGATTAGAATAAAGTCCGAAAAAATCCGTTGAAATCAAACATAGGCCAATGAAAACATTTTTGAATGAGGAAGTATTTAAAAAAAAAATGATTTGTTCCCGAAATCAAACTAGATGTCGGTGCGTTCTTGATTTCGCCATGACAACCCATCCGGTTTTCTATCATGTTTAAAAGCAAATTAGTTTTCAAAATTCGATAAACAACTCATATTCTATTTGTAATTTTTCGTATTTGTATTGATATCTAAGTTTCGAACTTTCAAATTACAGTTTTTTAATATCTTAGTTAAAAGGAACGGAAATTATGTTTTTTTAATGCTTTGGTTTTTTTTTAATACTTCCTCATTCAATATTATAATCACCCTAAATATTTAATTCGTGTAAAAATTCCCTTTTCTTCAATGATTTGAGATTTCTCTCTTTTATTCTTATGTCGTTGAACTGAATCAAACTTTATGCCTGTTGTTGGTTATACCTAGGCACAGGATCCAGCATTACTCAGGAGTGTGGAAAAAGTAATATAACCTATTAAAATTAATTATTATTTAAAAATTCGGCCGAATTCTAGTAAAAATTTGTTTTTATTTTTTATTTATTCCATTATTTTTTAGCTTCAAGCAAGGGTTGATTTTCATTTGAATTCTTAAAATCAAAAGGGTCGTCTTATTTTTGAAAACTATAGTCTAGCAAAACTTTATAATAATACTACAGAAACACTCTATGATAGGAACTACAAAAATTATGTCACTAGATGGCGGCACAAATTCTTAATGAAAAATGTTTAAATATCTATTTGCCCCAGGTAATCTGTAATGGGACTTGAAACCCACGACCTTTCGCAATCCGGGCGACTACAGGCGAGGACAAACGAATTATAGATCATTTACACAACCCGATAGCTAGAATCATCAGCTAAAATCAGTTAAGCCAGTCGAGTAAAATAATAAACTATCTCAATGGACAGCTTTCAGCTCTATTTCATTGAACTGATTATTTCCATTTACACGATGACAATACTGGACGAACTTACTAGATTGTTTCGGCTATTAGCCTCGTGTAAAGAACCAATTAAGTATATGCAAAAATATGTTGAACGTATTTATAAATCTATCTATAAACCGTATCTATAAAGCAAACTTATAACTAAGAAATTTGACCTTTAGTGACGTTTGTTTTAATTTTTTTTGAAAACATTCCATATTTATTTCTTTACCATAGAAATTAGATAGTGTAATAAGAGCTTTAGATTGAAAGTTTATTTTTCTCTATGAAAACTAAGTGAGGAACGTTTGGATACATTAATATTTTATCGACATATTGTTGGAAAAATAACTACATAGCCTAAAAGAAAATTTGTCAAGCTGAACCAAGTTACTGCTAACTAAAGAATATAGTTCATCACAAATATTCCGTAATTTGTAACACCATACATTTTTATATATACGATTTTAGTGTTTCTAAAGGGACTACAAACGATTCTTTTCCATTTAAAATTAATTAAGCTTTGAATTTTTAAGTCATATTTTGGATATTAGTTGAAATAAAACATAAAATAAAATTCTACATTTTTATATAAAAATACTCTATGCATAACATCCTGCTCTAATGTATCCGAACATTTAATTTGCGTTTATATTCATTTTTATTAGAGTAGTGCTGTAACTATATTATGTAATATTAAGCCGATTTTTAAACTATTCGAGTCAATATATCATTATTCTTTTTAAGGTTTGCTAACAAAAGGAACCGTTGTAAAATCATTCTAATCATTGTCTGTTCATCCAGCTGTTATAGCCTGTTTATCTGAAACTATTGGATTGATTAAATTTAATTTTGATACATCTGTAAAGTTATAAAGTAAAATAAATAATGTAAAAATTTGAAAACACGGTGACAACATTTCAGATTAATTCAGAATTTAATACCGTTGGAAAAATATTATTTTGAGTTTTGTAAACTATATTCCGTGACTTAACAAATTGCTGGAATTATTAGAAAATCTTATACAAGTATTGCTTTTTTGTTATTTAAAAACTTTAATAAAGAAAGTAGTATACCTACAGATTACAGGAAAATGAGTCGTTTATGGTTTATAAAGTTAAATACATATTTGAGTGGAACCAACGTTTTTGGTTGTTTTCAAAATTTTCTGTTGTAATAGTTGTATAATAATTATTTATACATAAACAAGACCAACTTAGTTTATTTATATAATTTCTTAGTTTACACGTAACGCCAAAATGGCGTTAAATCAAACCCAAATTATAATTAGAAAAATTGACTTATAGACTTGTACAACAAAGTAAGTATAAATAACAATTTAATCTCGCTCTTTTATAAATCAAAACATGTAAATATAACTAATAAATATTGCTCATCGATGTACTTGCCTGCACTGAATCGGTACAAAATAAGTTCAAATTATTTCAACAGGGCACCATAGGACCCCCACGAGCTCGACCTCTTTTGAATAAATCTGAGCTAGCAACATAGTGCATTAAATTTGAAAACTATGATTATTTAAATAAATATTTCAATCATACGTTCGGTCGTCATCACCATTAGTTGGTGGTCTGCTTGCACAAACATTAGTTGAGTTTTCTTATACGTGTATTTATTTTTTTTTCGACGCACGATTATTAAACCGAAAAGCGACGTCAAAATTTAAGATTTTTTTAAATACACGTGATTTGATTGAAGGAGGGAGGGGGTAGTCTTAAACCTCACCATGTTTCACCACGGGGGAGAGGGGGTCAAAAAATGTTGAAAAAAATCATCACCGGATTAATGGATGGCCCCTAACTACAATTAATAGATAACCATTCATAATCTGTTTTTACCTATTTACCTTAATGTATAATTTTAGTATTGTATTAGGGTCCTACATTATTTTCCTTTTGAGAGATTCTTTTAGTGTAAAAGTATGTAAATTATTGTAGGATAAAATTCGTTAAACGAATGTAAATTATTATAATTAAAAGTAACAATTAACATATTTTTTAGATCTTTTAGTTGAAAGATTTGGGTATCGATTCTATTCGATTTGGAAAATCTCCGCTCATCACTTTAAATATCCATGTGTGCACATATTTTATGTATCTGTATTTGTATGTTGTGTTGTGTGTGCGTGGTAATTTGTGTTCTAAGCTGATAGAAAGAAAAGAAATTTGTTAAATCAGGTACTATTTAACGATGAAACTAACATAAATGTGAAGAAACACAGTGTGTTGTGATATCAAGTGCAAGTGAACCCGTCGGGAGGCGGTAACCGTGTACGTTTATTTGCTATTTGTGGATTCTGGATCTTGTCGATGTACCATAAACAAAAATGTCAGCGATCCCTATTTTTTGTTTCTTGCTGCATACCCATCATTATACTTTAATTAGATCACACGAATGATATAAAATAATATTGGACGCTTTCTCTGACGATGTCGACTCAACCGAGTAGCGTTACCAAAGCAATAAATCGGCCATAGCAAGCGTGCGCTTCGTGTGCTCGCGCCTGTCTATACACGACCTATCTCATTGTTTATGTATGGAGAATAAGTCGGGAATTTTTATAGGATATTTCTCTGTATTCTGGTTTTATTTCATTATCTGGATAATATTATTTGTTTGTGATGAGTGATCGCGTTAGCGGGACATCTCTACGCGCTGCTTGCGTCCTCGCGGCTTTCAAGGATTTTTTGATCGCTATTTATAATAATCTCTCGATCATTGGTGCAGCATAATGACATTCTTGTAATGAAGTACCGTTCTGTGAATTTGCGGGACATGTGCCAATTATTAAGTCTTGACGAAACCACGCCGATATTATTTGTATGTGTACATGATACAATATTGTTTTTTTTTTACCACTCATAAATAATTTTATTGAGAAGCCTGGACAGAATGTTCTCTTCCTTTTATAAAGGATAGTATAACTTTGCAGCCAGCATTAATTTTTTTTTGTAGATTTGAATCTTTATCTGATAAACTCAATGTTTTGAGTTTCTCAGTAGTTGAAGTTATTCAATAATCATATATATCAACAAAATCCATGTGAAAAATATTTCATTTATAAACTACAATTGGTAAGTAAGAAATTTTAATACAAAAAATATATGTTAAGATAGATTTCCATTAACATTAGGTTGATATTTATAGTATATTTGATTATCATATCATCTCTCGAAGATCAGTAAAGACCAGTCACTTAATTTGTTTTCTGAAAATGTCTTAGCAACTATAGATGGGATACTGAAGTGAATCAAAGTAATAAATATGAATCAAAATTCAGGAAAATACCTCTCACAATTAAATACATATGGGTGGTGAGTTTATTTCAATGCATTTACTAGTGACAGTGTTTAAAATTTTTATAGGAATTCACAGTTCTTGATAGTTCGTGCTAGAGCTTTTGTGCAGGATGCTACACTAAAAAAATCACAATTAAAAGTGAATGTAAATATCAATAAAACTCCAACTAAGCCTTATGTTTTACAATAATTATATTTTTATTTTGTCACATAAACATTTACTGTTGTTTAATTGTTGATCAATATTCAATTTGCTGAAAAAAACTAAAAAACTTCAAATATCCTGTTAAAAATAAAGTATAAAATGACAAATCTTTGAGTTAATATTTTCCAAAATTCTAAATCAATAATTTATATTATAATATATATTTTCATTAAACTATTGAAAAACCAGTCAATACACATTTTTCTCATTCCACAATTACAAGAGGATGGTATCATTATGGACCCTGTCAAACAGAGGACATTGTGCTTTAAAATTAATAAGTATTTCCTTTTTAATGAACTAAATTATAAAGTAAAAGAAATAAAAAATACCTTGCTATAAACCATGGATTCAGATGAAATGAAAAGTAACTTTTTTCTTTATTAGGTTATTATTGATAGGAAAATATATGATTGTTAATCTTGTATAAACACATATGGATGGAATCTTATCAGAGAAAAAAACAATTAATTTGCTGTACACTATGTCTACTGTATTGTATGTGTTTGTTAAGAAATTTATCTAACTAACTACTGCAAAAATTTACAGATAAATATGTAATCAAATCTGATTATTATATGTAATTATTTTTGTTTTTACTTCTTCCATGTATAAAGCTTCCTGTTATTTTTTTGTGAATAAGCCGATAAGTAATTTTATATTTTTAATTCTGGAATAATTTAAAAAGAAAATAAGAAGAAAAGATGAATTTCACTATATACTATATAAGCTGTAATATTATTATATGCCAGGACTTTGTGGGGTGGATTATTTAAGTATACTCAACATCATTTACTATGGGAGCAACACAGAATTCATGAAAAAATAATGGGCTGTTTCATACAAAATTGTAATACATATAATTGTTGACTATATGGAACTGCTGATTATTTTTTCGTGAATTCAGTGGTGCTCCCATAGTAAAAGATGTTCAGTATACTTAACTATTCCACTCCATGAAGTCCTGGCGTATTATACTTTGGTTGTTTGTAAGAGAATACTTTGGAAATACTTTTCCAATCATGAAAATTCTTTCACTTATGGGAAGCTACATCATACACTTGTGATATAGACTATAATTAACCCTAGGGAATTTGTAGGTAGAGCTAGTGGTAAATATAAGTAATGAAATATTATTGTTGTTTTTCTTGCAGTCAAGTTGGCGAAGGCACGTAGGGGTATGATAAAAGAGAAGGAGAAGGGTGGCGGTGCCCGCCTCAAGGACGAGCCCAATGACCCTGCTGAGCCTGGTAAGTGTCTAGTAAGTTGGAAATATTTTCCCGGACCTCTTTTTCAGTCCCGGGACTTCGGGACTATGCACAGATAGTCCCAAAAATGGATTGGTCTCAGGATTTGGGATTATAACTGGAAAATAAAATAATTTTCATTCAACAAAATGATGTGTTAGCACAAAAGCATAGGTATTAGTGGCATAAGTAATATTTTTCTATTATCTGAATCTAATCTAATTTTACTTGAGTAAAATAATTTTAATTTATAAAATCAGATGTTATTACTTTCTAAAAACTTTGAATTCTCATGGTATTAGAATTCAAAGTTTTTGTTACTAGGTTCTACATTTGTTTATTTTTAGTATGCATATGAAGAGTTTTAGGAATATAATGTATGCTCACAATACAATAGCATATTGTGAAAATGCAAAAATACATCAATCGCAAAAATCTCGGATTATTGAAATTTTATCCCAGAAATTGCAGGACAGATGTCGTGATCTCGGTATTATATTCCCTATTTGTAATGAAGAAGTATTTAAAAAAAAACGAAAGCACTAAAAAAGCTCCTCCACAAGATGGCGACTCTATTAAAAGTTGATTTTTGCATCAAACAAATGGACCAAAGACAGTAATTTCCATTGCTTTTAACTAACATATTAAAAATCTGAAATTTGAGAAGTTCGAAACTTAGATATTAATACAAATACGAAAAAGTACAAATAGAATATGAGTTGTTTATTGAGTTTTGAAAACTAATTTACTTTTAAACTTGAAAGAAAACCAGAAAGGTTGTCATGGAGAAATCAAGAACGTGCCGTAGCGACATCTACTTTGATTTCGGGAACTAATGTTTTTTTTAAATACTTCCTTATTGTAACGTATAAATTTTTAGTTGAGCAGCTCGATGGCGCAGTGATTAACGCGCTCGGTTTGCGATACGATTGTCAACTTTCGCAATGACCGGTCATAGGATGGATGACCGAAAATTTAATATATCAAGTTCCTCCGTGTTTCGGAAGGCACGTTAAGCCGTTGGACCTGGCTACATCTGTAGTCGTAAATACCCATCCATGGCCCATTCTCACTATTCGATTTTATTCCTAGGAAATGACTGAGCCCCATCTGTGGGGACATAAATACCTAGTCTAGAAATAAAATCAGTTACTGGCTGTTTACATACATTAAAAACAAAACATAATTTTAATTTTGAACATTAGCTTCATATTGTATGTTTTTTGTTTAAAATTATTTGTTTTCAAAATAGAGTGTGGCACTAAAGGGAATAGGCATTTGATTGCCGCATTGTATAAAGTAGGTAAGGAGGCAGCCGACATTTTTGATACATTGACAAAGCTAGGAATTGGCCGAATGTTTGTCTATCGTACCATCCAAAGGTACACTGAAATCATATCTGTTGATGATTGTGAGAGATCCGCCCGACCGCAGTCTATTCGAACAAACCAGGCCGTTAATGCAGTCAAGGGCAGAATTCGTCGAAATCCCACAAGGAAGCAGATAATCCTTTCTAGAGAAATAAGAATCCCACTGACGATATTTTCTCGGATTATCAAACAAGAGTTAGGTCTAGGGGCTTACCGGAGATACAGAGGACATATCTTAAATCAGGCACTAAAACAAAAGAGAGTCGAAAGATCAAAAGAGCTATTACTTCGATACGCGGACGAAAAACACAGAAAAAGTCTTTTTACCAATGAAAAAATTATTACAATCGAGGAGCACTATAGCAAATGATCGAGTGTATGAACACAGCTCTAAAGAAGCTTCCGATGTAGTTGCCAAAGTTCAGCGAGGTCATCATCTAGCATAAGTCATGGTTTGGTGGGGTCTCTAGTATACAACTCCATTTTTGAGAAAAAGAAGTGAAAGCTCCAGCCAAAGTGTATCAAGATACCGTATTAGAAGCGGTAGTTAAACCTCTCAACAACACCTTATTCAAAAACGAAGTGAGGATTCCAACAGGATTCAGCCCCGGGTCATAAGGCGCGCACTACCCAAATTTGGCTAGAGCAAAATGTTCCAGACTTCATAAGGGCTAATGATTGGCCTTTGACTAGTCCGGACTTCAACTCTTTGGACTACAAATTGTAGTCTGTGCTAGAGGACATGCTCTAAGTATCACCCAAATAATAAGTCGCTCAAGAAATCTTTAGAGGTAGCAGTAACTAAGTTTCCAATGGAAACCGTTCGTAAATCCATCGACGAATGGCCCGACCGTTTAAAAGCGTGCGTTAAAGCTAAGAGTAGACACTTTAACTAATTTCTTACGTTAACATATTTTTTCACTCTACATAATAATCACATATAAAACTTTAAATTAAAATTCTTTTTTTAGAAATTATCGGATATTTTCTTTGTAACATAACTGATGGCTAGACTAGGTAGGCTGGTGATGACGATGGTCAAATTATGCTGAAACATCAAATTTCCACCATATTTAATTCAAACAAACAATCTAATGACTGACCTGTATGGCGCAGGATGTTGATGTTATCAGGCATTTTATCTTTTATCTCGTCCTCCTCAACACTTTCAGTTGACCGTATGATGATGACTTCGTGAAACTACGTGAAACCGTGTCTGGTGGTGCGAGAGTTTATGAAGTAACGAAGTGTGAATAAATATTATGTTATAGAAAAGGAACAGGGTAGGTAGGCAAATATTGAACATTAATTACCCTCGACTAAATTTAAAAATAGATGCGTTTCGTTATTAAAAACCAATACGATATGAGAGACGCTTGCAGTCATTTAATAGGTTCATATTATTGGGTTTACTGAACTAACACTTTACTGTTTTAATCTGAAACTACTGAAACACTTATCTGTCTCTTTATGCTATTAAATTTGAATAAATACCTATATAAAAAATACCTTCATTATCTGTCCTGCCCTCTAGGCATCAAACGTTTCTGAAACTGTAAAAACAAATTGCCATCATTATCAAAGGACTTCTAAATGAAAGACTTAAATCCAGTTGTGCATATGATTTAAGTTGTAATGACGACTTCACACTGTAAATATTGTTCTAAATTTTAAAATTTGTATCGGTGAACCCCCCAATAGCAAATTTTCAAATTTACAATACTCATTAGAGTTTAACGTCGTCATTGAACCAGGAATCTAAAAGTTACTGTTAAATAATAAAATAGATTCTTCAAAGATTTCTCAATGGAAATAACAGTATTAGTGAAAGCATCGCGCCCAGTATCAGTGGAGTGTGAAATTAATACCAGTCATTTATTGTTATAATCATTGTCTATCGGAAATTTGTATAAAATAAGGTATCTCAATTTTCTTTACTGTTCTCTCTTATATGAATCGTTTAATATCTTATAATATAATGTATATATCTTATAATATCTTATATGAATTTAAGAAACAATAGTAATAGTGACAATTCCTTTGTCAATCTAAAAACTCAGTGCATTTTCGATTTAACTAAAGGCTGCGACTAAAAGAAACGTAATCATCGCGCCCGTAAATGAGATAGATTTAGATAGAGGATGGCGTAAAGCGCGCCAAAAACAATTTTTAAATTATCATTGTATTTAGTTGAATAGGGTGAATGGGCGAATGGGAGGACGGATGAACCACACCAGTACGGATTGGTGGGTGTTAAAGATTGCAGATACTGCCGGGTCTAACGGCTTAACATGCCTTCCTAAGCACGGAGCTCGACAATAAATTTTTGGTTACCCATCCTGTGACCGGCCATTGTGAAAGGTGCTTAACAATCATTCCGCAAATCGAGCGCGCTCATCACTGCGCCATCAAGCTCCTCACTTATACCTTAATACGTTACAATTACAAGTAGGGAATAAAATCCTGAGATCACATCTGTTGCAGTCCCGCAATTTCCAAGTTGCTTAACTTCCGCATTTCAGACCGAACGCGCTAAGCACTGCACCATCGAGCTCTTTTTTAAAAAAACTTAATTTAAATAAAGAATAAAATAACTTAATTTAAATAATTCTAATTTTAAATAATTACAATCAAAAACCATTAGAATTGTGCCAAAGATTTCTGTAAAAACCTTTGCTATAAAGTAGCTTATATGCTTATCAAACTAACATATAGTAAAACTAAAACAAGGAAAGCTAATTTAAAAGTTTTTGTACATATAATTAGCTGAATAAATAAAATAATAATTTCTTGATTTATAATTATGCTATAGACATTGGTGGTATTGGTTATTTTATTTTCTTATAATCTCCTTGTATAAACCTGGTTTGAGGGATCCTTATACTTTAACATTTTGTAAACTTAGATTTTTCTCATCCGGTGTTAAATAGATTTCACCAAAAGTCAATTCTAAAACTATTAAAAAAATTATACTCACTTCATCCAATGATGAAGCCCCTTCGCACACCAATGTGTGCGAAGGGGTTTTTTTGGTGTGTGTACGCGAAAATATAAAGGTGTATATCCACTAGTGATGTTCCGGATATTGGTATCTGTATCGGCGGATATCCGACGGAAAATAAAGATCCGTATCCGTTACTTTTCTCGCGGATCTTTTACGAATCTTTTAACTTATTAATTTTCCATTGATAGGATGAAATGCTATATATAAGTGATTAGGTAGATTAAAAAAAACTAGTAAATTCAGTTCAAGTAGTTTTTATTTCTTAAAATCAAATATCAGGCAACTTTATATTGCAAACATTTATCGTAGTATGTTACTATACCAATAGTACATAACTCAAAGGTACTAATCAACCTTCTTCATAATAAAATAAGATCAATATTATAGAAAGTATAACAACACTTTTATAAATATAAGAAAAAAAGAAAACCAAAACTTAAATATTTTTTATAATTATAATGAGATCAATATAATAGAAAGAAAACCTAAAATAAATTCTAACTGAATGATTATTGTAATAAAGTAAATTACTAGGTACTGCGTACCTAGTAGGTACTACCTACCATATAAAATGTAAACATAAGATTACACGAGCAAACACAGTGAACATTAGAGGAACTTAAAAAATATTAATTATAAAGATCCGTATCCGTGGACCTTGACACCTAATATCTGTATTCGGATCCGTATCCGCCGATATACATTTTTAACAATCCGGCACATCACTAGTATCCACAGGAGTTTAGACATTAAAAAATTCATTCGTCGCGCTATTTATCTTGCTGTCTCCATGTAGTACGCTGAAATTAAAGAGAACGCCATTTATCCAAGTCTGCAATATATAAGAAATGGATTCTCTGTTGATTCCTAGTACATACATTTATATTATACAAACCTGTCAAATGTCTCAACTTGATTTTAATTCGTAATGTATTGAAAATAAAGTTTAAAATCAACTACAGAATATTTTGGTAACTTGGCATGCTGATGTGCATAGTATAAAACCTGAAATATAATAAGACTGGCAATTTTATCGCTGACCAAAGATAAAAGCTTTTATTAGCATCTCAAGTGATTATTTTAACAGGCCATGGCTCGCGACCGCCGTCAGCGTCTCTGCCGACGCCGGCGGCTCTAAAGAAGGAGCCCGACGAGCCCCCGCACCGGGTCAAAATGGAACCTCATAGCCAGTCCGGCGAAGACTCCACCGCAGAGATGGGTGTTGATGGCATCAAGACAGAGATTGACGGCCTCATGGACAGTGACGGTATTATTACAGCTTTTTTCTGATAGGGTCATTAGACGATCAATTTGGCGTCAAATCCGTGATCTTGATCAGGTTGACCGTTTGATATGTTGATCGATGTCAGATTGGAAAGGATCACATATTATCCAGATAATTAAATTTTTGTCATCAATCCACAACTTTTATCACGAACCAAATTGATTGTCTAATGGCCAGATAATAAATCACAAGTTTTATTTTTGAAAATTATATTTAGTAAGTCTAATTGAATCGTAATAATTAATAATAAAAAGTAGATGAATTCTTTGCTTTAGACAAAAGTAATAGAATATAGCTCATAGTAAGTATGTGTTGCCACAATAAAAAAAAAATTCTACATAGATAAGTACCATATTCTTGAAAAAAAAATGTAGAAATGAAATGATTTCAAAGAGAATCAGCCTTTATCTAGTTTACCTCTTTGACACCTGTCAAAAGAGCTTGAAATGTATATTACAGTAAACAGTTGATTGTTTGACAATGAATTGTTAAAATGAAATATAATGTGCAGGTGATCCAACTAAATCGCCGTCCTGCGAACTAGGCGGGCCAGGATCGCTCAAATCAGAACGTCTCTCCTCTGATTCCAACGATATTTTGGACCCACAAACTGGCCTGAGGGGTTCTGCTAGTAATCTACAGGTTTGTATATCATAATTATTATTTTACTTTGTGTTAGCTTAAACAATTATCATTTTTATGAAGGTGAAAAAAGTATTAGCAATTACTTCACATTACTTAAGAGTTATAATGTAAGCATTTTATGAACATATAAAAGTATAAGGCAATTAATTGTATGTTACAAATTTAGAATAATTTAACAATTTAGTACAGTTGACTTTTATTTAAACATTAAAACCACACTAAATAATAAATTAAATAAGTATTTATAACCGTTTTTAGAATCCAGTTTAGTGCAGTATATTTTTAATTGTTACAGGACGGCAATCAGAATTGCCGTAATCCAAACGTAGGCCCTGAGATGGGGTCTTGTCGTATGGGGGGCGGTGGAGGCCCCATGGGTGCCGGGGTTTCAATGGGCCCCATGTCCGCAAGTGAGGCACAGACACTGCCATCCAATGTAATCAGCAAGCAGGCAGGCAGCATGGAGGTAAAGTTGCTAATAGTAACAAATATTAAATATGTATGATACTCTTTAGAATTTGAGGTCTCTTTCCAACATTTTTGTTAAACTTATGACATATTAAACATTCTTTTGATTTGGAATATCGGTCTACAATTCATGGAGATATCAATGAACATACATAGAAAAGTATATATCCATTGAACGTCTTATTCCTTTTCCATTCTGAAGCTAATTATAAATGTATACCTTTCAGCTTTGGCAAAAATGTTACCAAGAGCCTGAAAAAATCAGGTCACTGAAATAATTTTGAATTATTGCTGATCCATACATTTGAAAATGACCAAATGTTCTGACTCAAATCCAGAATGAACATTGTCAAATGTAAATGTTATTTTGAACTACTTTGATCGATGAAATGAAATTAAATGAAAATATCTTTATTCAAGTAGGCTATTACAAGCACTTTTGAATCGTCCAATATTTTTTTTTCCCCTATCACTTGTTCAGGACGTCTTTTAGCTGACAAGAAGAACAAGCGAAAGAAACTTACCAGCTTTTTATCATAAGTAATGACATTTACATAAATCATGTCATTACCAAAATAATATGTATTATATTGTGATAATACAACTTTCAAAGTCTGTAGGACATAGGTTGAACATATAATTAGTCTTTATAGAACAAAGCGAAGGCTATTAATTCCACGTATTGCGATCCTTAAAATAATCATCAACTTTATAATAGCCTTTACTCATAAGTATATTCTTTACATGAATTTGAAATTTATTTATGGGTAGGTCAATTACATTTTGTGGAACTTTATTGAACATAGCAATACATTTACCCAGAAATGATCCTCTGGTTTTTTGAAGTCTGAAGCTTGGAACGGCAAGTTTATTTTTATTTCTTGTGTTAAGATTATGAACACTACTTTTTTTTGTGAAGGAATCGTAATGTTTTCTTGTGTACATAATATTCTCATAGATGTATTGAGAGGCAACAGTCAGAATATTTATTTCTTTAAATATTTCTCTGAGATTCCCTAGACCGTAAATTATATATAGCACGGACAGCTCTCTTTTGTAGAATAAAAATATCCTGAATGCTAGCCGCAGAACCCCACAACAATATACCATACGTCATTACACTATGAAAATAACTAAAATATACCAATCTTGCCGTTTCAACATTTGTCAAGAGTCTAATTTTCTTAACAGCAAAAGCTGCAGAACTCAGTCTACTTGACAAGCTATCAATATGAGGATCCCATTGCAGTCGGGAATCTAGTGTAATACCAAGGAACTTTGTTGATTCTACTAACTCAACTTTTTCACTATTTACATTTATAAGTGTACTGACATGCCTCACATTAGGTACTGACATGTCTCACATTATTAGATGATGATGCACATTATTCCCCTCCTTAAATAATCTCACTTAATAAATATATGGCACCATATGGTAATACTAAAACGCTTATATTCTCCTAGCAGCAGAGCCAGATCTTCGTTTTCTCGACCAGTTTGGCTAATAAAGGCGCGGACGCTGTGCTGTCTGGTCAACATCACTCGATCATCGCGTACCATTGCGCTCAGCCTGGCACCAAGAAGTATTTAGAGGTAAGTTGCTGTCACATTTCTACGCAACTCTTTACCTTATGGACTAACCATAGTATTCACCAAAGAAAAAATTACTTGAAATATGTAAACGCTAAGGAATATTGAGTCATAGACGATTCTTGTTTATGATAAAGTAAATAATTATTTAATAAGAAGAGCAATAAGGTCTTCAGTGTCAATTACATATTTAGATTTCTGGATCTTTGATGGTACATATTAACAGATAAATTACTTTTTTCGCTTAAATGGAGACTGAGAATTTGTCTTAACTGAGTTGTCACACTATGTGTCAGTTTATTATATGGTTTTATATTTACCATAGATGTAATTTTTACAGTTCGAAAAGCACCTTAACAGAAGGCATTTTTTCAGAAACACCCTTTAAAAATGGGCCAGTTCAACAAACAGAATCCAGCCCAGTGGTTAAATAATCTCGCTATGGCTAAATCTAGGGGGGGCATGAGAGGTGGGCCTAATATGATGGGGGGCCCGAATCAAATGGGTCACATGATGGGAGTGTCAATGGGTGGGAATATGGGACCCATGGGTCACGGCATGGGCCACATGGGACCCAATATGATGGGGCCTAATAGGATGGGCGCGCCCAATCAAATGATGATGATGAAGGGTGGGCCTGGCCAAATGGGGCAGATGGGGCCGGGAATGGCTCCTATGGATGGGTTTCCAGGGGGCACCCCGTCCTGTGGTGTCATGGACGGCCTCGGTGCTGATGGTGAAATGCCCTGGGACACCGTAAGTGTTTATATCTGTTTTTTTTTTTAACTGAATCTGTGAAGAAAAATCTTGTTTCTATGTTTAATAAGCCAACTACTGTACAAAGCATAGGATTTTATTTTTGTTCGTTTATAACTGTTTAAATCTTTAGATTTTAAATCAATAGCCGTCTTTTTTTTCGGTAAGATTTCTAGTAATAAAAGTAATTGTATGATTGTAGAAAAACCCCTCAGTAATGTCGAACGGCATGTCGAATGGGCCTGGGATGCCCCCATGCTCAGAGGCGGGACCCGAACCTACGTCCGGGCCCGCTGAGTCCGCTCCCGATCAGCCCTGTCAAGCGGGACCTAAAGGTAAGACACATCATAATTAGGTTATATATAAAAACTGACCATGCTTACCAGTTTTGCCAAATTAATAAATTAACGTCGTTGACTTATATTGACTACTATAGCGCATGAAATTGTTATCTGACTTATTGTTTTTTTTTTTTTTCATTATTTAATTATTTCTATCTGTCTATCGATATTTTCACGCCATATCCCTGGCGAGATCGACACAGAACCGAATGCCATAAAATACGTTCTTTACATACATCTTTAGCTTAATCCATTTCAAAACATCTTTTGACATCACCTTCTAACAGCACGTGATTAATTTGATCGTGAAAGGTATTCTGTGACCTTCCTCGGTAAAAAAAATAAAATAAAAATAATCACTGTGGGGATTATTATTAATTATTATGTAAATTTTTCCTTGTAGGTGTTAAAATTCCTGATGAGAACTTGACGCCACAGCAAAGGGCGCATCGTGAAGAGCAACTCGCGACAATACGCAAAATGCAACAGATGCTGTTCCCCGAGAGTGGGGGACAAGGTTCCGGGGAGGGGCAGCCTCCAGACATTAATCCTCCCAACTCCGCTGGAAACATGAACATGCCATACCCACCGATGTCAATGGGACCTAACGGCCCGATGGGTTCAAACGGTCCCATGGTTTCGATGTCCAACAGTATGAACTCCGGACCGAGTTGCACTATGTCAGGACCGATGCCGATGAACCCTATGGGTCCAAACGGACCAATGGGCGGACCGATGGGTGGTCCTATGGGAGGCATGGGGCCGAACATGATGGGCGGACACGGATCAATGGGACCGAACGGAATGATGGGGCCTAATGGACCGATGATGGGAGGCATGGGACCGAATGGACCGATGGGCCCTATGGGACCGTGTGGTATGAAGGGCATAAGAGGGGCGTGTGGTGGGCCGGATATGAAGGGTGGCATGTGTACAGATATGCATATGGGGAGGGGCTGCGGTGGACCTATGGGGGTGAGTTACATATGAATATTTTTTTACTGTAAATAAATTAAGGCAAAATTATGGCCATGACTTGTAGCTGCTTGAACCAGTATATTAAACTTTCGGTGAATAGTTGTATTGTAATAAATCAGTTATTGGAAAAAAAATACATTTAAGTCAGATTATATTCTCTGAATATTTATGGTATCTCTTTGTCTCTGAAGTCAAGATTCCCGGTTGATCAATGCAGAATAGATAATTTTTCTATATTATTTCGTAGCTATGGTACCTTTTATCAATTTCACAAGGGTTTTAGCTACTTATTATCTGAGCAATTTATATAAAGCTGTCGACGTCGCAGCGGCGGCGTCGCATATTCACCAGGTGGCGTCTTTTTTCCATACTCATTATCACATAAATTATTTCGTTTACTTACTTCACAAACAAACTTTCAAGTTCACATCTACTTTAAATTTCATTATGTTTATATACGGAAATATGTTTATTTTTTATAGCGAATGCCAAACCCAATGGGTGGAATGGGCGGGCCTAAACCTTGTATGATGGGTGGACCACATATGGGACCTAGAATGATGCCGGGACCTAATCTTAACACAATGAACGGTATGAAACTTTATTTAATCTTCATTTTGTTAATTGATATGCTTACAGAAATATTTTTGCCAAACTTCTATTATAAAATCACGTAAATTGCGCAGTTGCTTATTTTGAAATGATTTGGTTAGAATGACTTGAAAAAAATATGTAGTAGCATTTTTGTTTATAATATATACTTGAATTACATCGAAAATTATGACTACTCTCTTATTATAACAGTTTCCAAACATAGAGGAATATACAATTTAGCTACAGTTAAAGCGTCAAAGTTCTTTTCTAATAACGTATGAAATAAATTGTTCGATTGTAAAATTAACAACATGCAATATGTTTTATAAACAGTCAATACTTTAGTCTAATTTTAAACCTTAACTTGTTGTCAGTTGAACTAAAAAAATATTCGATATTTTGTTGTAACTCTATGTGATGTGTGTGAAAATATTATAATGTTCAGGTGGCATAATGATGGACGGGAACATGATGGGTGGGATGGTGCACGGGGAATGTGGACCGGATCACCACGGTATGCCCGTCAACGGACCCATGTGCGACGAGTACGGCCGCGGCAGAAACGTGAGTCTCCACCATAACATACACATAATATATCATCATCAGCCCTTTTATATCCCCAATGCAGGGGCTCAGGCCTTCCTTATGGATGGTTAAGGAGGATGGGCCATAACCCACCACGCTGGCCGAATACGGATTAGAGGGTGTTAACGACTGCAAATGCAGCCGGGACCAACGGCTCAATGTGTCTTCCGAAGCACGGAGTTGCTCGAAATTATATTTTTTTGGTCACCCATCCCGTGGCTTGCTTAACAACATCGACAGGTGGTCGCGGCCCTTATCCACTACGCCACCGAGTTACTCACTGACATAATTTATACTAATAAAGAGAAAAAATAGGGTTTGAAACTATGGTTTTAAAAAATTCTTTTACCTACGGAAAGAGTGATGCACGCTGGTGACATAGGCTATAATTCAGGCGAGAAAATATACAATAAGTTCCAACGAACGTGGCGAATGGTGAATCTTCGTTTGTGCAGAGCAGATCTACTAATTTCGACGATGAACGAAATAAATTTATAGTGTGTCTTATTGCTTTAACTATAAGGTGTAAAACACCGTCTCAATCATACTCATGTAGGAAATAAACGCGTGAAAATTGGTGGCACTTGAATCATTCTCATTGGTCCACATTTGCTGCGTTCTGAAATTAAGCCCTCTATGCTTATAGAATCAGTCACATCAGTTGTGTATTTCAGTACTCATATTACAGTCGAATTAGTAAACGGTTTTTCAATTGAATACATGACAGTTAAATTATGAAATATGTTAGAAATAGTGACTTATGTGTAAACAATAACTATGTTGTATCTTTTGTTTTTTTAAATTGGTCCATTCGTTTCCTGCATAAATCAATTTTCGCTAGAGTAGCTATCTAGTGGAGGTGGTTTTTTAGTGCTTTCGTTTTTTTTAAATACTTCATCATTGATTCAATTTCATAATTAAATTAGTGAATAAAACAATATTTTTTCGTTAACATCACTTTTTATTAATAAATAAATCTGATAGTGATTTAATATGAATTCCTTTTCCAAAACTTTCAAGTAGCCAATTAAAATAATAATTACTATCAATTTTAATAGTGAATTTCACCGGTTGCTTCAAATCGTGTCCAATTATATAGTCTGGGTATTATTTGATCATTGATATATATTTAATATGTGTATATGATTACTACAGAGGTAATATCCGTTCTCAGATGGGTCCGGGTGATCCTGGTGGGTTAGGTCCAGGTGTAGGCCCCGGTATGGGCCACAAACCGGGCTTGAGGAGTCCCAAGAGTCCCGCCAACGCTGACATCGACTGGCAAAAAATACACCACCAGTTCTTCGACGATCCAAAGTCGATGGACAATGAACTAAGTGAGTCACCATTTACTATTTTCTAATTTTTCAAGTTTTTATTCCCGATTACGGGAAATTTGTTTATAATTGGATTGTCAGCCAAAAAAATTGTAGTAAGTAGTAGTAAAAATTTATGACTAGAGTCTATGTACTGTAATTTAAATGTCAATAAATTTAGCTACTTGATTCGCGATAAAAGAGTGTTTGTATGTAATTTGTTTTAGATTTAACTTTATTATTGTTACAGGCACACAAGTAAAGTCGCCATGTTCAGAAAGAGGGGGCTGTCTTCCCCCACCGCCTTACGGGGCATCCCCTTTACACCGTTCCGCCTCTGTACCTATAGGTAATATACAGATAAAGTTTTTCATTTTGAATTAAAAATATGTTTTTCTTTTTTGTTCTTTTTCCAGTAGTATATATCGCGAAAGCAAAAAAAAATGGATAATTCCGTTCAATTGAATTAGTCTACCAAACCAGACTGAACACACTCCATACCCATTCACTTTACTATACAACACCGATTGTCTACTCTGGTTTTGTATTGTGGCAACACTCCCGGCATCAAGTCATTTCCGGCCCAAGGTCCGGGCTTTATTATAATACGATTATATATATGAAATAGGAACCATATTAACTTATCAATTGAATTACAGTAATTACAAAGTAGAGCTACTTTAGCTTACAAAAAATTGATAAAATACACATGGCATTAAATTAGTTACATAAAACGTAGTAATTTTCATTATAACAGATATAAACTTAAATGCAAAAATAACAAAGATAAGTAGCAAGACGTGACGTCACTTCGTGGGTTGAATTTGTAGGGAGTATTTTCGGCCGACTAGCAGCAGTTACACAAAAAGCGCCATATCTCCGAAACTATAAATCGCAGACGAACTGTTACTTCTACATTGTTTCTCAGATATTAATGGACCATTTATATATTAAATTTTAAGAAGCACTCAACTAGCCTATTTATTTATGTGTGTGAAACTATGCACAAAACCGAATAATACCTACATTTATTATTTGTGCAATATAGCGACGCAGTCCCCTGGACACGGTTCAGTTCAAATGCCCATGTCGGCGGACGCGTCGCGAGCTAATTCAGGCCTAAGTAGTCCCGCGCAACCTCACTGCAAACCGCCGCAGACGAAACAGGACGCGCCAGGTGCGTACATTATACTAATTTGTATGTCGGTAACAACACATCATAGTAGATTAGCAATCTTTGATAAGGGATCATTCAAATATTATGTGAGAACTAATGACTCGAGTATTTGATTTGTTATTTGAGATTATTTTTTATATGGTTACTGACTCTATTGCAAAAGGAGCATTTTGTATGGGGATTCGTACCAACTTGCGTCAACACAAATTTATACTCAATGAGTCAATTTTTTATTTAAGTTTTCACTACCATCAAGGTACCATCAAGGTTATCACAATTTGACCGCATATTATAGGGTATGTTCCGATATACACAGCGAGCACTGCGCAGTGGTCTTACTGCTGAAAAATCCGTTCCGTTATGGACTGCCAGTACACTGCTACAGTACCCTAGGGAAATTTATGACGTCATAAATTGCCGCCATATTGGTACTGTGAGCACTGGAGATTTCGAGGTAAGGTGCTCGCAGTGCTTTTGATCACGTGATCAGTCGAAACAGAATCAGAAAATGATAAGTTTCTAAATAAACAAAAAAAAATACTTACGTTTATTATAAGATGGATAAATATTTTTTTTATACAATTTTCCAATTTTATAATATTTTCTTTTGAAAAGAGGGAATCTTTATATTTATATTCACCTTGCATTAACAATTTTGAAAATGGCGCCAAAAAATAGGATTAACAGTATACTGGACTGCGTTCCGTTTTAAAAAGTCACCAGTATAACTAGCTATAAAGGAACGGGCTTCCAGTATACTAAATTGACGTCATACTGTTTAGTGGTCGCAGTGTATATCGGAACATGCCCTAAATATATATAAAAAAAATAAGCGGCCTTGTTTGACATTTAATTATTGTGATTATTACCCCATTTATTATTCATATAGAAATGCGTTCAAGGCCGCACTTAGAAGTGAATTTTCACAATATAAATTGTTACACTTGCTTGATAACGCTCAACTGAACTTTTAATCACACTATGCTTATAAAATTTATAATATTGCTGAAGTTGATTATTAAAAAAATGTATTTTATATTCGTTATCACGTGACCGTATACAGCGTCGCGCCTCTTACTCATATCAGAACTTAGAGAATTGACCCTTATGCATGGTAAAACGATATAAGTTTCAGAGGGATGTGACGTCATAGCGACGCCATTAACAAAGGGTATGTTCCGATATACACTGCGACCACTGAACAGTATGACGTCAATTTAGTATACTGGAACCCCTTCCTTTATAGCTAGTTATACTGGTGACTTTTTAAAACGGAACGCAGTCCAGTATACTGTTAATCCTATTTTTTGGCGCCATTTTCAAATTTGTTAATGCAAGGTGAATATAAATATAAAGATTCCCTCTTTTCAAAAGAAAATATTATAAAATTGGAAAATTGTATAAAAAAATTATTTATCCATCTTATAATTAACGTAAGTATTATTTTTTTTTGTTTATTTAGAAACTTATCATTTTCTGATTCTGTTTCGACTGATCACGTGATCAAAAGCACTGCGAGCACCTTACCTCGAAATCTCCAGTGCTCACAGTACAAATATGGCGGCAATTTATGACGTCATGAATTTACCTAGGGTACTGTAGTAGTGTACTGGCAGTCCATAACGGAACGGATTTTTCAGCAGTAAGACCACTGCGCAGTGCTCGCAGTGTATATCGGAACAAACCCAAAGTTGGCATATTCGCGGGAAAATTTGTATACGGAACGTTATTTTTCGGATATGCATTTTTTACGGAAATAGGCGAATTTTTAATTATTTATTATCACTATTTAATGCGGTTAAAATATTGCGTAGAAACCAGTGGTAAATACGTTAAAAATCAACATTATTTTACCTGTGACACAACATGGTACGGATAAAGGCAATCTCCTTAAGTAGGTTCTAATTTGAGCTTATACAAGGTGTAGCAATAAGAACGGTCAGTATGGGCTAGCCTGAAACTATGAGAACTATGTCATTGATATTAGTAAAAAAAAACACGGTATTCATACATAAAAAATAGTTCTGTTACATTTGTGAATAAAACTTTACATTATTTCTATTTAGATACAGATTGTGTGTCTTACTGTTACTCAAACTTCATGTCTTAAATGAAAGAAGGCTATGATAAATTCAATTCGCACCGAAACAAGCTAAATTGAAAAAAAAAAATAGGTTGTCATTTCGAATACCTTTTGAATAAATTAAAGTATGAAAAACAATGCCTTTTATTCATTTTGGCATCATGTTTCATAGTAATATTAACTGTTTAAGAATAACACAGTCGGTATGTTAATATGGATAATGTAAGTTAAATTATTAAACACGTCCAGACTCGATTCCCGAACTGTGAACTATATTTTTTTTTCTTCTCATATCAGACCTTTGTGTGGGTTAAAAATTTCCCATAATGACCGTTGTTGATGTTACACCTCATATACTAATGTGTTGCTGATGAATATCTTACGTAATATTTGCATGACCCCCATTATTTATTATGAGTGTGCATAATAAAATAAAATGTTAAAAAGAATAAACGGATAGACTGTGCAAATGACAATACAGGGTTATTAGTAAACAACAGCAGCCAACTAGATAACTAACGTCACAAACGAGAATATTTCATCTATGAGACAAGACGTATTTACAAGTTTTTACTGTGCTGTCGTGACATTTATATGTCTATATTTTATTTATACACGAAAAGACGACGCGTACGACAAAGTACCTACTCTTCGTACGAATTAACATGACACCTATTATGATAGCCTATTTTATTTCTTAGAAAACGTGAAATGTGCAAGTTTAAAAAGCATTTTTATCAATTACCTAATTTATCAATTACAACGAACTTATTTATTTGTTGCATAGAGAAATAGAAGTGCTGTAGTTAAATCGAATAAAATTTGTAATAGGATCTGAAGGCCTAAACTGTTTGATCGTTTGCATATACGTTTGATAGATGCAGCATCATCTTTAACAACTAACATACTCGAGGTAATTGATTTATATCAATTCCCAAAATTAGTAGTACTTAAGTACATGGTATGTTTTAAAGACATACTTTAGCCAAACTTTAGCCATAGATATAGTATAAGCATGGTGTTTATGTGTTAGACATTTTCCCAACCACACGTTTTTATTTTTCAATAGATCACAGTTTTGATTTTTTATTAACTTTGTTATGTTATTTTGTTTTTTTTTTTCTGTAGTTGTAATGCAATTTTTTGTTTTCCCCTCCCTCCCCCGCAAAACGCTTGACGCTTGCAATCCCGTGTGACGAATAACAACGATTGTACGAAACTTTGGATGAATGTTGCGTGGCTAATTTTGGACCAAAACTTTGGCCACAAAAGAGATATTAGAGAAACTCGATGATGGAGTGTTTGTGCGAACCCTCCAATGTTTGGCGGCGCAGCAACAGAAGAACCAACAGTCGCACAAGGAGCCCAGTTTGATGCCCGTACCGTCTCCGCAGCAAATATCGTATCTCAATCAGTTTGAAGGTAACACGTCCCGTTGGAGATGCACAGAAATAATTAAGAAATTCTCCATTGGCAATTACTATTTAATTTTTCTGTCTAATTATAATCTTTCACCCGTATTCATGCTGTAAAATACACGTTTTTTTTTCAACTACTGTCATATCGGGATACGTGCCGGATAAATTTAAAGAGTATATTGATATATATATATATATATAGATATATATATATATATATATATATATATTTCGGTCGGTATAGAAAAGTCTAAAACTGTAAGACATGCAACATCTGTTGTTATGTCATCGATTTCATCGATCGAAGAAAAACTCTAAAAAAACTAGTTCTCATTTCGGGCATACAATCCGGAGGTTTTTAAAAACAAAATTTAGGTTATGTCTACTTAAATACCCATTGCGTAGAGGTTAACTTTAACTGCTTAAAACCTTCGATCTTCGTATGTCTTATAATTTCAGACTTTCCCATACTAACCAGTGTAAATGTTAAACTCTGGGTGTAACATATATACAGGGTTATTTGTAAAACATCAACAGACTCAAGATCAGCTAGGTTGTAAATGAATTCTTCCATTCCCTCTTGTATCATGCGGTGACAGTGTTTTAAATAAATTGTACATTCTTAATAGTGCTAATATAAAACTCATTTTAATTATGCGTTTAGAATATATTAAATTCCTACCACGCTCGCTATTACTTTACTTTTTGCTCACCTATCTGTGAAGTCAAAGTCAAAGTCAAAATAATCTTTATTCAAATAGACTTCTTAAAAGTACTTTTGAATCGTCCAATATTTTTTCCCTACCACAAACAAAGTGAATAACGTTTATATAAAATTGTTTACTAAATGTTGCAATCTGGCGATAGAAAGTAGCAGTAATACGTCCTTTTATGTCGTCCTTTGGTTTGTGAATGAAACATAGACCTGTAAGTACACAATAAAAGAAATTGTTCAAATTAATAAGTTATAGTTAAATTCGTAGATCAAAAGTTTTTTTATGATGTTAGCTACATAGTCTTGTTTAGTCGCTGATGTTTCACAAATAGCCGTGTATATTATTTAATTATAATATTTTTCAATGCTAATCTCCCTTTTAAAGTTCCTAAGCTTTCTTTCAGCTTTAGCAACCAATATGTGAACATATATATTAAATAATATATTTTTTCTATAAATAATAAAATTTCATCCTGGAATACTTTCTTGCAGCTATGAATATGATAAAAGAAAATACTATTGGTAATAAATATTTATAATATCGATTTGTATTTAAAGTTGTGTCTATAAAAACTTGACATTGTGAATATGGGTGTAAGACCTGTTTTTTACATCATATTATTTCTGAAGCTACTTCATACTATAGTTTAAGGCTTTTAGTGTCATCAATTAAAGCATTTCGTTTACATGTGTAATTTATTAAATAATAATAAAAAAAAACACTTTTTAAATATAACTTATTGTTGAAATGTGTAAACGGAAACGCTGTTATCATAAAAAAAGAAGTTTTCAAATCTTAAGTTTGTATTTACTTTGTGTTGTGATCGTAGCATTTATGTGTTTGTGTTTTTTCTCATTTTGGTGGTGGTTGGTGAAAATGTGCTAACATACGTACTTTCATACTCTATGGCTAATTCGTCTATCACTCTACGTGTCCTACTTGGTTATGGCCGTTGCTGGATATGGTGTTTGTAACGTATAACGTGTTTTGGGTGCAGGTCAAGAGTTGACGATACAGAAACAGCCTAACACGTCGTTAAAAGACAACGGGCCACCATCGAACAGCGGTGGGCAGACGCCACAGTCTAATTCCACACAGAAATCACCGGCCGGGTGAGTAAATTAATAATAATAATCATCTCCTGCCTTTCAACTACTATAGTGGAATATTACCGTTTGCATAGAGCAGACCTATTACTAATTATGAAGATAAAATATAATTAAATTTATAATGTCTCTTTTCAATGTGAAAATTATAATTTATGTCACTGGCGTGCAGTAATTCAGTCGTTCGTTCAGTAGTTTCGGATTATATGTATGATCTAGCCTTCTCTATGAATATAGTCACATATAAAGAACGGGCCCCATGCAGATTCAACGGTTTTAACGACTGCTGATGCAACCGGGATCAATAACTTTTTTCACTTATTTTGGTCACTCATTCAATGACCGGCCATTTCGTGAGTTGCTTAACCTCCACAATCGCTGACTGAACGAAAAGGTATACAGGGTTATTTGTTAATCACCAGCAACCATGTAGGCCTAAACTGCTAATAATCATAAACAACAATGTTTGGTCTAATAGTTTTACTATAACCCGGTACTTTTAACATATTTTTAAAATCCATAGTACAGTCGTGACATTGATAAGTCTATGTTTTATGACGCTACGCTCGCGCGCTATGTAACGTACCTACACCTAACGTAGACAGGATATGAGAGAGAGAGGGAGAAAGAGACAGATTTATTTAGTTACAGACATGAGAAAAATACAAGCATATATGCAAGTAGTTATTTAATTGAAGAGGTTAATTAAATTAGAATTTATATTTAAGTGTGCTGTGTAACAAACTATCTATACTAATATTGTAAAATAGAAATATTTATTGTTTCTTTGTATTGAAAAGGCTCCGAATTTACTAGAACGATTTTTTAGTTTTGCTTATGTTAAAAAAGGTGACATAGGCTATAATTTACGTTTTAAATAACTAGTCAATAATAGAACAAGCGTTAATATTTTATAATCTTAGCTTTTTAGTCTTGCGCTGTTGTGATAAGTAATATATAGCTTTGTATATTATTATTTATTGTGAGCATTTTGTTTAGCATGATGCCGGGCACGCCGGAGCCTCACATGTCCCTATCGGAGCAGCGAGCGGGCAGGTTCTCGCTCGAACAGAGTCCAGGGTTCAACAATCCCCAGACACCCACCTCAGCAGCTAGCACTAAGTGTGGTCAGGGTGAGTTAGCAAAATTTTATTTAACCGTCTCTTGACCACAAATTATCCCCTACGATTATGGAATAAAATGTACGCTGTTAATGGAAATCGATCTTTATTACGTTTTATTAATTTCACATACAGGGGAAAAAAACAACTACTACTGGCAACATTAATTGTCGATTTCATTACGGGCATCATTATATGTCAGTTAGCTGTCACTTTCATATTGACTTTGATGTTTGATGAATATACTGCCGGGTTTTCGTTCTTGTTAAACTACTAGAATCCACACTTTCTTTTAGTATGTTTGTTGTTTTAAGAACCTTTAATTTATTATTACCTCCACATCACCTTTTATTATATTTATATTATTGCTTAAATTAATTATTAAAAAACAAATCTTTTATAATCGTTGTCACGTGACCGCAAATAGCGCGTGACGTCACGCCTCTCATACTCATATCAGATCTCAGAGAATTCAGTCTTATGCATACAAAAACGATATTTCGGAGGGCCGTGACGTCATAGCAACACCATGACAGATGTGGCGTTACCGCGGGAGATTATGAATTAAATTTATTTTTAGAATTATTATTTTTAGATATATATTATGTACATCTATAAAATAAAAATATGATATTGAATAGTGGAATGGACTTAGTTTTATTATATTTGGTAAATTTTGCATTCAAAATGCTATACTGAAAAATATTCTTAATTAAAAATACTTAATAATATTTTTTTCCCGTGCACTATGAGATGGAACTCGAACCCGTGACCTTTCGTAATCCAGAGATCTGTTGCCCGGATTGCGAAATATGATAATTAGAACAAATTTTTATTTTTATCGTAAGTTTAAATATTTGTAAAAATATTTCTTTCGGCTGTTTGGGTGGATTGCCTGAAGATTGATTGAGATTGAGAATACGCTCTGTAGTAGCGAAAAAATAAATGTACTTGAAAAATTCGTCAGTCCTGTTTCGGGTACTGGATCGCCCGGATTTCGAAAGGTCATGGGTACGAGTCCCATCTCAGAGTGCCAGGGTCAAAGTGGATTTTTTAAACATTTTTCATGAGCAATAGTCTTAGTTTTATATTATTGTGTAGACGAGAAGTCCCGGCCCAGCCCGTCCTCAAACCGGTCGAGTCAAGAGAGCGCCAGTAAGACCCCGCAGCGCGAGTCCCTCAGCCAGGGGCCTTATGCCCCCCCCAACACTCCCTCGTGCGCCACCAAGAATAGTTGCAGCCAAGCGAACACACCCACCACTACCACCATGGAGGACTCCATACCCACATCAGAGGTATGTATACTTGATTTATTACCTTTTTCTTTTCTAATTTTTCAGGATAATTATTAAATGACCTGAGAAACCACGATCGAGTATACTCCAGCCAAGATATTCAACCCCCACCTCCCTAAGGGATTTGTTGATTTTATAGAGTATTTTGTTCTGTTTAAAATAGTATTTTTAAGTGTTTTTAATATAAATTAGCTGTCCTCCAGTGGCTTCGCCCGCGTGGTCCCGTAATATACATAAAAATTTTCGAATCCTTTTTGAATCACCCTATCTAGTAAAAAAAAAACCGCATCAAAATACTTTGCGTAGCATACATAGGGACAGACAGACGGGAAGCGACTTTCTTTTGTACTATTTATTAATTTAGCTATAAAAATATTTTAATATGATAAACAAGTTTTCTTACATAAAATAAAATTCAAAAGTTTTTTATACCCGCTAAAACGGTGTCCACTATATTCATGACGTCTCTCCGATATATTCATATCGGAGAGACGTCAAAGATGTCAACCAGACAAGAACAGTGCCATCTCACAATCTGGCCACAAAATATAAAGATATAAATAAAATAAAAAGAACGTCATCTAGATTCCCGAATTGTGTTTATAATGAATAGACATCTGTTTACGACTAATCTAACATGATAGGGTAGGGCGTGTTTCAAGTGACGTGATATCAATATCGAGAAATCATAATCATGTGATCTTAGTACTTAGTATTGCAATAACATTAAATTAAATTTTTGTGAAATTTCGTGTTATAAGTTTCACTACCGAAATCAACCACATTGAGTTATTTTCATATGCTATTTTAAAATGAAAGTAATCTTTTCCCACAGGCGACGTTATCAGGGGGCCCCAATAGCACAACACTCCCCGGACCGTTCCCTAACGCTTGCAGTATGAGTCGGCCGGACAATATCCCGATAAATCCGAACCAGGGTCCCGGTGGTCCCATGGCGTCGTCGTCGTCGTTCGACCCCATCTCGTCGCTCGCGCAGATGTCGCAACAGTTAACTAACTCGGTGGGCGGGCCGGGACCCGCGGGACCCATGCAGGGCGCGCCGGGACCCATGGGACCGTTCGGCGGCGCGCCCCACCATATGCAGCACCACCACAATATGCATCCGCATTCGCATCCGCACATGATGATGAATGAATTAGGTATGATTTTATTTTTTTATTTAATTGATTACTTTATTATTTTATTATGATGGCTCTTTTGGTCGATTGGCGGTATCTAATACTCATTTTCATTGGATTATCGATCAATGATATGTGCTTAAAGAAAAAAAAGGTCTGCAGTTGTTAACATTCAAACTGGGCCCGAGTGGCAGGTCGTGGCCAAATCTTTCTACTCGATCCCATCTGTAGGAAAAATCTGTATCCCTATCAGTGGACATAAATAAGCTGGTGATCTTGATGATGAATTGTAAATTAGCCAGCCTGTTGGTTAATTGCTAAGGCTTGATTTCGTCATGCTATAAAGACGGGTGTCTTATGGTGTGGAGAGTGAGTGTCGATATTTTATTACAAGAACTAGACTAAATATAGTTTTTTACGCTAACTGTACATTCAAATTTGCAAATAACTAAAATAACAGAAGTAAAACTATTATACATAGTATAAATACATCATTATATATCGAATTTCTTGAATCACCGGTCTAGAAACTACAATTTGTAGCTCATAAAAATATAATGATGTAATAATCTATATTTTTTTAATTTAATTTATACTAAAAACACATAAATTTTAATAAAATGTGTTGTTGCTAAGCACAACACTCGACAACCGATTTGGATGATTTCTTTTCGTTTGTGGAGGACTAATAATAATTTTCTTATTTCATACAAACCACTTTGTCAAATCTTTGTCAGCTACGTCAAAAATTTGACATCTATCAATGAAAAAACAAAGGCTTGTTAGCATTATCTTTGGTATGCATTCAAATCGATTAGAGGTCGAATTTCATCACGAAAAAAATATAATGATTTAGAGAAATAGATTATTACAAGGTCGGCCGGAACAGCCAGTTAATAAAACTCTCTTTATTTGTCAGGGTGTCACATGGACAACATGGGAGGACCGGGTATGGGCGGACCAATGGAGGGCATGATGGGCGGCGGAGACTTCCCGCCCGACATGAACCTCAGCCCGAAGATGGGAGGAGGCCCCATGGGCGGACCTATGGGACCCATGGGGCCCGACCCTGCCATCATGGGGCCCCGCATGCCCCCCGGGCCCGGCAAGATGCCCCCCTTCAACGGTGCAAACGTGCAAGTGAAAGCGAGCGCACCCAACACTATCCAGTATCTTCCCACGAGGCCTCAGATGGCCTGCAACTCGGGCCCCAGAGGACCTCCCAGTTTAGATTTCCTCCAGCGTGTAACAAATCCTATGCAAATGGAAGGAAAAGGAGTACAATATTTCCCAAGAGGAATGGACGAGAACAGCATGCGTGGTGTTATGAGGCCGCCAGGAATGCTCCGGATGCACTATCCGGCTGGATTTAATTCTCCACCCAAAATGGCGGACCCGTTCCAGCCGAATCCAATGTGCGGACCGAACTTTAGAGGTGTGAAATCAGGTATGGGCCAAGTGAGGATGACGGGGCAACCTTTGCCACCTTCTATGGGTGGGCCCGGGCCGGGTTTCAAGGGCCAAGGTTTCGCGGTACCATCGACGGCGGACCCCAATTACGCGGCACAGTTTCACAATTTCCAACAGCAATTATACGCGACAGGAAGCCGCGCGCCTCAAGGATATCCGCCTTACCAACCGCCCAAGTGATGCCGAGTGATAAATTCACCCCCAAGGACGTACTTAACCAACCATCCAGTGACGCAAGATCGAATATTATGTTAGTGACTTATAATAAAAAAAAAATAGCCCGTGTCTCCTTTACCCACGCGATAAAATCCGATCTAACGGTTGCGGTCGTTTTATCCTAATGAAAAGGATGGTGTTTGTACAAAATGTACAAAGGTTTTTTTTATTATCGTAGACGTGTTACGATTACACGGTTCGAAGTACAGTTTTAGACGTATATTTTGCTTATGGCAATAAATTAGTGTTAGATTGTTTTTTATTTTTTGACACATACATGCCAGAATTACAGTGTATCGGTTCCTTTTTTTACTTAGCTATTTTTTATGTACGATTCCTATGCACACAGATATCTAGTCAATTTTGAAATTAACGGAGCCCAATCCTGTGTTAATGTAAACATTTAACGATTGAAGCCGACATTTGGTATTTTTTTATATACGCAGAAGTACATAATTTTATAATGATGTCCATTTTTTTTTAAGTTTAATATTAATTAAATCTAATTAGTTAAATTGGTCGAATATAATTTCTTTTTGGCGTTAACGGCCAGTATGACCTGAAATTACTTAGAACCGTCTTATTGACTTATTAGTTGTTTTATTAATTTAATAATAATATTTTTTCATTTTTCGATCTGATAGCAATGTTATTTCTGTCTTCCAGTACCTTAAACTAATGCAATAAGTGCTTATATCCGCCGTACGCTCCGCTAGACGTTGATGCGTACGCGGTTCGCGACTTTGACTATAGGTCTCTACTTTTAAATAAATAAATAAAGAAAAGTACTTAAATATCTGATGCCATATTATTTGCCACATGAATTTAATTTCGTGATATTGTAACTATCTATTTAATTTATTGTTGTCTATTGAATCTGTACGAACAATGCCAATCTTAAAACGCAACACTAATGTTTTTATGTTTCGTAGTAGTACATAGGGCATAATAATATGCTAGGCTAGTAGTCGCACTTGGATGTAGCAGTGGCCTTCGATTTGTAATGCCTTGTTTAAAAGCAATTAAAACCCCGGCGAAGACGCCAGCACGGTAATATTAAAAAGTTTGGCGTCGATTAGAAGCGCGCCGAGTCGAGTCAGAACGGGTCGCCGCAGAAATTCGCTCGAGCCCGATTCAACTAGTTGAATGGGCGCTGTTTCATAGAAAATGTATAGGAGGCGAATTTTTACGAATCGATTCGACTTGGCTCAGCGAGCCTGGTTGACGTCAGACTTTATAACCACTCGAGACGAAATCTAAATGACGTCTATAGGATTCTGGTATTTCTGTGGCACTTTTAAAGTTGGAAATAGGAAAATAAAAAGCTTATGATGTTGAATTTGATTATTAAATAAACAGACATTTAGATTTCTGCTCAAGTAATAAAACTACTGCCGGACTGGAGTGAAACGCGTTCTGCCGCCGGCCGGTATCAAGACTGCGGCGATCACAATTTGTACAGTACCGAAGCAATCGATCCCGCAGTATTAGATGCGCGTGCGCATGACATTGATGTATCACGCGGCCGCGCGCACTATGCGGCGAAAACGGATACTCTCGAGATTAAGAAGGGCGTGGCAATTCGTGAATAAACAGCACAGAAATAAGTCCAGATAAAAACACCCGCTAGCAATTAGATAGTCTTAATTTTAACTGTAATTATAATTATAAGGTAAAGAATGGTTCTTGTTTTAGGATAAGCGAAGAGCAATGATATAAAATAGTTTGTGTAATATTGATAAGGAAATGAAATTAAGATGCAAACTATTGGTTGTGATTCTGACACAATTTGTTAAGTTGTTCGTAGATATGTCACAGAGAATTGTGGAACTTACTGACTCACGATAAGGCCCTTTTTTAATTTTTATTTTATTTTTTTGTTTTTGGATATTTTTACTTGTCGTTCTCGTTTGTACATCGCTAACAATAATTGTACAGAGTACTTTTGGACTTAATTTAAGGCAATAAATGTATTTATTTTATAAATCGTGATGTAAGAATTTATTCTTAATTATTATAAAAAAATATATGATATGCTTGTACGACATGTTTTATTTAATATAATCAATCCACGCAAATCGTTATAATTATTATCTTTTATTATTACAAATTAAATCATTATTTTTCCAATGTCTTGTCTGTTTGTAAAAGAAACGGGAAAAAAATCAAAATGTTCTTATAGTTTTGTCAAAATCAAACAAAGATCATCTGCTCATCAGAGGTAGCACCAGGATCTAATGTCGTAGAGATGTAGTACATGGACGGTGTAGACAAACGCCAATGACCTTAAAAATAGTTTGCAAAATCAAAGTAAAAAGAAACGATGACAATATTAGAAAATATACTAAATATTATTTATAAGTGCCTAGAAAATATCCTTAATGAAAAATGCTTGAAAAATCGATTGGTCCCTGGCACACTGAGATGATATAAAAACAATATTATTTATTACTTGAAAAATACTGCCTCTTACGTTAGCCTCACTAACGGTCAGTTGCGTCCATTAAGGTTGGCCTTTAATGACGCCTTTAATCTCTAATGAATGTCAAATTTGTATATTGATTATCGCTTTAAATTAAACACAATTTCAATGGACGCTTGTGCAACTGACTTTAAATGTACTGGGCCCACTTTAATATGAGTACCACGTTGTATCCAAATTTTCCGAGACAGTTCCGTTTTTAATTACATCCCGGGTCCCGCCACTCTGTTTAATTTTTCCCGTATTTTCGTTTCTAATTAGGAAGTTTCATGATGTTGATATTATTATGTTTAACCTAAAATAAGAAAAATGTAGATCAGAACTAAAATAAATCAAGAAAAAAGATTAAAATCCATAAATAAATGACCAAGTAATAGTTTATTTAAAACTACGTGTTTTCGCACGGAACGTCTTTGGCCTCAAACTCGCCTGTGACGTCACAGCACCGAACTCGAGATTGTCGCACTACAAATTAAATAGAAATCTTTGAAAAACACTTATTATTTTCTACTTATTAATAATTTTATTTTTTTAACCGATTCAATAAAAAGTAGGAGGTTCTCAATACGACGGTATATTTTTATGTTTGTTACCTCAACTTTTTACTGGGTGGAGCGATTTTGATGATTCTTTCTCTATTTGAAAGCCAGTGCTTGCCGTGTGGTTCCATTTTAAATTGGTCCAGATCTGGCAAGTCTTAAATTTGCATTAAGTATGCGTGATGTTTGTTACCCCAAAACTCAAAATATCACTTTAATGCATTAAATAAAAACTTTAAAAAAGTGAAATATAATACTTATTTTAAAAGCGGTTAAATTTTTTAAGAAACATTGAAGTAGGGCGAGCGGTTAATATGTAATTAACTACAGAAAACCTCAGGCCGACCTCAATGTTTCTTAAAAAAAAATTACCGCTTCTAAGATAAGCATTATTTTGCACTTTTCTAAATTTTGAAGTCGGTAGTTTATTTTTATATCTCCATATTAAGAGTGACAATTTTTTTGATTTCGGTTATTAGTTTTGACTAAATGGATCACTCAGTCCAGATGCACGCAGTGTGATAAACTCCTTCAGTTTCAGTCAAAACTATCGACCAATGTAAAGGAGTTTTCACTAGTCAGGAAACTAATAATAGTCAATATCCGCCTAATGAAAATAAGCGCAGAAATCTTGCGCATTCCGCACGCATTCTTGCACTAGTCGATAAACCTTGGAACTCTTATAGATTCTTCAATGTCATCTCTGTCTGTCTGTGCGTCCGTCGAAACTATTAGCATAGATAATAGTTAGTAGGCACCTCGTTTGTCTGTTTTGTGGTTAAGCTATGAGTCTACTTATCAAGCCTTTATAAGTAGATGCATTCTATTAAACACATACATTGTTATTAATATATAAGTTTTAGCGTTGGAGTAAATTTACGCTGAGACTGCACTTATTATTAGTCAAAATTCATATTATTAATTCAACGTTGTAAGAGGTTCTACGGGAGTAATATTTACTTCTAGTAGGTAGTAGGTTTGCTTATTCTCTGTATAATATGTATTTGGACTAATACTAAAATTGCAATTTTAGCGTAAATGTCAATTATTAGCACTGTAAGATTTTTTTAATAGCACTGTGAGATTTTTCGTTTCCTTAATTCAAAATATTTTATTAGGATTTTTTATTGTTGTACTTTAATACATAGGCACAATACATTAATAATAAAAGGTTTTAGAGACATCCATCGAGTAATAAACAAAACGCAACTGTAAGATGCAGGCGATGTTCAAAAACGATCTTATAATACTACCGAGCCGCGTCCTCGCGGTCAAGTTCGGTAGCGTGACGTAACACCGCTGAGTTACCGCGTGAAGCGAAATTATTCTAGCGAGCGCAATTTCAAAGTTAACTTGTCAATCGTCCTGACTTTTCTCTAAATAGGGGTTTTCTCTAAATAAATCCGTGGTTGAATTGGGTATTCTACTAATTTAGAAAAACCCATAATACATTTTTTTTAGAATAATTCAATTTCTTGACTTATTTTTCACTACCGAAACTACATTATAAATGATCGAAAAATAACTTTTCATGGAATCGTATTGGCGTTTCAAAATTACACGAATTTTCGGTTTTGCAGATATAAAAGTAAGCCCTCCAAAACTAAGATTATTCCGCCTTTGAAGTATAGAAATCTGAAACAACGAAGGTATCAATATCTTGCCCAGATGGGAGAAAAACATTTAGAATTGTTTTTATAATTTTTGAGAATAAGGATAAGTATCAATTCCATATAATAAATATATGAAAGCAGAAGCACGCAAAAGACTCTAATAGAAAGACGATACTGAAAAAATAAACAGAAACTACTAAAACCCCTGATAATGAGTTTCCTCAAATTTCCTCATATCTTACTGGCGAGAGTTGATCCATTTCCCATTTTTACTTCAAATTGGCTTAGCAATTTACAGTATTCAAATATTGCAAAAGTAATTATGCAAGTCTCTACAACAAATCTATAAGAAGATATGATAATTTAAATAAAAAGAGGTTCAAACCTCCCGGACTTCCCTTATAGCAGAGAATTTTCTATATTGACCTTATAGGGAATCGAACTGCAGCGGTGGCGCCGAATGGCAGGCTCAGTCCGGGGCTGGGTTATAGCCAGTCCCACACTTCTGAACGTGGCTTATATATAAGAAGTTATTTATAGCTGCATGATGTGACTTTAGGATAGGACAGATTTTTTGTTTAAAATATGTATATATATTTGATGGACGTAGGTTGGCATTTTGGTCGATAAGATATTACTTCATTCAAGTAACATAGGTAAGTCTTTGGCCTTGGTGGTCTTTAGTTAAATAAAATGATTAAATTTTGATTTAAAAAAATGCCCGAAAATTAGGAACTCAAAACACGTTACTGGCATACATATCAAATAATACATTTAAAAATATTTTTATGTCCACAAGCATGGACCAATAATATTGTTGATCCATGCCACAAGTAACTGCATAAACATAATAAACTTTAATTTTATTGACTTAAGACTTCATTTCTATAACAGATACTACGCAACTTGTGGTGAGCGCGGAAATAAAAACGGTGTAATATTGGGAAATATAAGAAAGACCTCTAAATGCCCTCGCGGTCACACTTTCAGCTAAGGAATGTATGCCACTAGGATCTGTCTGATTATTTTGAAAATATACCGTTCTTTATAAAATTTAAAGTTTTCTGGATAACATAAATATCTAAAATTGACCAAAGATTAGTTTTTTATACTAAAGCGTCTGGAACCAATACCGCCAACGAGCAGTCTGGGATTAAAGTAAGTAACAAATAATTATGGCGTATGGTGAATCTTCGTTTGCGCAGAACTTTTGACGATAACCAAATGTACGATAATACTGACAGAAGTCGCACTACTTGCGTCATTTTCAGAGCTGGCCCGTCCACATGGATAGGATTTAAACAAACTAACAACTAAGTGGCATAGCAATAGGTACTCTGTACCTAAGAATTTTTTTGTCATTACACTATGAATCAGTCGTAACTTTTTTTGTGGGCGCCAAAATTCCAAAGAGCCGTAGGGTGATCTCAGTGATCACTGATCATTCCGATTTACACACCATTTCGCTATCAATTTTAAACTTTAATACTTCTACTAAAGGTTTGAAATTTAATTTCAAATTTTTATCATAACATTTTTTTTTACTAATGCCTGTATGCTGCAGGCAGTAATTAGTATATTTTGTAGTATAATTTTATGTATTAAAATACTCAAAAAAAAAATTGCAGTTGACTGTCACCTAGCGGCTTACAGACAAATTATTTTACCAGCACAAAAGCATATTATGCGAGTTGTGCCATCTAGCGGAGAAAAGTCAAAACAGTTTTATTTTTTAGGAGATCCACAGATTTGGTAGCTGTATTGATACCATAGATAATTGGGTCTTTAATAATACGATTAGTATAGTCTATGCTTTTATACATTCGTCCTTTTATTTTTAACTTTTATTTAGATTATTTTTCGGTGTCATACATACATAGATACATATAATAAATATGCTCAATTAGAAATAATATAATTAAATATCTATGTACATATATACTAGCCGTTTGGGGCCGAAACGATAGGTCTGTGGGGCCCCGGAGCCTATCATCTTTTTATTTAGTATATTTAAAACACAACTTAGAAAAAGAGTTTCAATATTATGACATAACAATTGACTTTATGTATTCTAAAACTATACGCTCGATTATCAAATGGTAAAATAAAGCGTTAGAAAACGGTGAATCTAGTTATCGAAATTAAAAAAATATATGAACTTGTCTATGGAATCACAGAACGGAATCTTGTAAAAGATTAGGCCATTTCATAAAACAAATGTATAGTAACTCGCAGAAAATATCTTCGGGACAGTTGTATTTATTTCAGCTTTGCATTTTATTTTAAATTGAATCGTGAGCTGCATTGTAGGTCCATTGAAAAGGATTCGTCTTCGTCTCTTGCGGAAGGGTTAGCAGTCTCGATTCTGCAATAGAAAAGATTTGCATTAGAGGAGACGTAAGGTAAACATCGATTTTATTTTTTCTCCTAGAAAGTGATCAGTAGATGAAATTAAATTTAGGAGGATTTTATCTGTAATAGGCTGTGTCTTGAGTGTTTATAGTGTATTTTTAGTGCATCCTTGTACGAAATGAAAGTTTGACTTTTGCCACATATTCTTTTGAATGGCAGCTGACGGACGTAGGTAACATCTATCTACGAGAGTACGTACCTAATATTTTATTGATGTTATTTTAGTTGTTATGACGTTGACGATATAGAGATAACTACAAATTTACACACCCATTGAAGTGCCAAAGAAATTGTTTTTTCCCACTACAAAATGTCAAAACGTGAACTTGTCAAAGGCAGGGTTGAGTCATTGTTGCTAACAAATTATTTTCTCAACTGCCTAATGTAAAAATATTCTTGTGTACATAAAGTTATTAATGGAATGATTTTGTACCATTATCTTGATTTTGTACCAGTATACAATTAGTATTATTGTAAACAGATATTAAAAAAATGTTCTCACATGTTTATGCTTAACTCTTTGTTTTTAAATGAATTGTGTTCAGTATTAAATGTATTTTTCTATAAAACACAGAATTAATACATTTATCAGTTTAATATCCCCAAAACTGCTTCTAATTCAGGTATGTATAAAATGTATAACTTTTTTAACTAGAAAAACTATTTTCCTTTTAAAATTTGGATGTCTCTGAAGATTAATTTATATAAATAATATATTAAAACAGGTGATAGATAAGACTATTATTATTGCTGTTGTTTGTCATATCTATAAGAAGAATATAATTTGATTGCAATTTTATCAGATCTCACACTGTAAACACTTGGGCCTTAGACTATTAAAAAAAGTAAGTGTTATGTAGATATAGTGTTTTTATTTTTCACTTAAAAGTTAGGTTGACGTGATTTTAATGGATGTTTAACAGCAGTTTGTATGTTTTTTATTAGTAAGGGTATTAATAATATAAATATTCACTACTATATTGTGGGTAGGTAGGATTTATAAATAAACTTTATGTTATTATTAGCTGTGGTTTACTAATAACATCAATTATTAATATTTATTTATTCAAGAAAAATATCTTTATCTATCTATTAACATAAATGGTTGATATGAATACACATTTAGGTTATAGTGATTCCAAATTAATGAAGCCTAATTAAATTTTATCTATATTGTAAAAACCTAGTTATGCAGACTATTTATTTTTAATGAATTACTTTTATATATTTTACTTTCATCTTGCTCATTTGTTGTAATATGATTTATATTTTTGTGGAAGTCCCAACATATGTTTTGTGGTCTATTATTTTTTGGAGCACAGTTTGAGGTATGCTGGCAGAAATTGTTTAAATTTGCAATTACTGCGTTTTTTAAAAGAGCTTCAGTTTATTAACCAACCTCAAAACCCAAAAGGAGGGGGATAGGGGGAAGATACAATTTAATACTTAAATTAACATCCCCTGAATATCAATATCAACAGCTAAAAGGCCCATTGATCCAATAGACATTTTTTTTTCATATTGAGTTATATTCATGTCTGGAACCAACAAATTTTACTGATTCCAATACATATTTGGACTTAATACTGTACTGAAGAAAGTTATTTTTTTTTCAATGGTCCTTTTCACTGCAGATATGTAAGTTTGTATAAGGTGTCAATCTTGAATAACATGACTATATGTATGTGCATAATAAGGCAACTGTTTTATGAGCATTATGAGCATGAGCATAGACATTACTTTGTACATCTTTACATTTTCAAGAATGTTTTAGAGATTTAATTTTACTTTTGGAGACATTAGTTGAGCAGTAACTAGTGAGATTTTGATTGTCTTTTAATTATTTAAAGCACTGTTTCTCAATCTGTGGACTGCAGATCCCAGGGGGTTGATGTTGTGTTTTTAGCACTGAATGTAAGTCATCAATAATACAACTCCATTGTGACATCAACACTAAAATCACTGATGAAGTTACACACATCTATTTTTAAATAAAAGAAACTTTTAAAAATTTAATCCTATTAACATATACACATTTTTTTAAATGTTCCTTTTAAAGATTATATAGCTGATTTAGTAATTATCTAATCATTTATTAAACTATAATTATATCCTATAAAACATTGGATTATTATTGAAAAATTGTCTTTATTAAACAAGTAGTGTGTACAAAAATATAAGAAATACTTGGATCATTTTACTTTAAAAAAAAATCTATATATTCTATTTCAACATAACACTTATCTTTACTTATCAAAGTTTAATTCAAACATTTGAAACATTATCTGGGTGTATCAAATTTTAAATCTTATCATTCACAATTTGTAATAATCCTTTTGGCAAAATAAACAGTTTCTAGTGTTTTTAATTAATATTTTGAAATATACTAAAGTCCATTGACTTTAGAAATTAATAATGATCATTTAGCAATAATTAATAATATTAATGTGTGTTATAATATAATTATATTAATGATATTATAATAATTCTTTGATTCTCATGGTTCTCTATTCTTTAGAGCTAATGAAACAATAAATTTTATTTTGACACTCTTTATACTATGAATGGTAATCAACACCTAATAATATATTTACATAGGTATGATAATATTTAAATGTATATTTTAATTTCTGGATTAAATATGATTTGGTTCATTATTGGTAAATAGCCAATTAAATTAATTATTTTTATCTCAAAAATTTAATTTACAAAATCAACTGTTATAGAGGGAACTGTGACATGGACTGTGAAGGGGTCAAAAATCGTGATATTTTTATAATAATTATTTTTATTTAAATAGGTGTAATATTTGGGATTTTTTATTTAGTTATTATGGTAATAGGTACTTATCTAACGATTGATTGACTGTTCGTCTTTCGTTCGCGGATAATACTATCGACCTCTGCCTTTCTAAGTTGCATAATACCTATCGGCGACCGCACAGATGTTATGTTATCAAATACATTCACTTATGTACACAAGTTGCATCTTCGGCGCTTGTCGAGTGTTTTAACTCATGCTTAAGGGAAGCGAGTCGAATTTCGGCAAAATGAAATGATTTTCCACAAAGTAAAATTATATATTGACATGGTAATTAATTAAGTAATGAGAAAGTAATTCAAGCTGTATATAATAATAACAAATAAAAAATTCATTATTCTTTCCCAATTTTTCTGTCATAATATTTAATATAATAAATAGTTATTAAGTGTAAGTTACTCATAAGGATTGGGTATAGATTGTTATATAGGGTTTCTTGAAATACATGAAATTATTTTCAAAATCAGTAGAAAGGTTTTTACTGTTTCATGACTTAGAATTAAAAAAGGAATATGTGAATGATAAAGTAAAACTGAACATGTATTTTCCTTGTTCGCAGGTTATTAGGGTGTTTGCTGGAGTTGTCGAACCATTGACTCTTAGGGCTAGGATGTCAGTGCTGAATCAGAGCGGGGAAGAGCAGGTCACCAGTGTACTTTGACTTCCATTTTATTTTTGTTATAATTAATAATTAGTTTAGTTTAAATATTAGAATAATATCACGGACATAGTGAAGTGGGTATAAATAAATAAATCTTAGACAATACTACATACATTGCTCAGATTCCATGATGAGAAACTACAAAGGTACCACTACAATCAAACCCAGAGAGTATAGAAAAGTTCACTTTCTACATTGATCAGACTAGTAATTGAACAAGGGACCTCAAAAGTGACACTTAGAAACTGGTGTACGAGCCATTCTGCTACAGACGTCGTACAGACGGTCGAATATTGCTCAGATCTTAATTAGCTTAAGCCCTTATGTTTACGGAAATAATATAGGCGCCATGAAGACACGAATGTTGAAGTGGTTAACTATTGTATGGTATTCTAAGAAGTATAGAAAATCTAGGTTCTATTGATCTAGATTCGATAGTACTTCAAGTCATAAAACGTCAGACTCTGATCAATTTGGTCATATTAAGGTTAAAATTGATAAAAATAATTTTTCTCTTTTGTAATAAGTTCCGACAAGTTTTATCTACAACTAGAGAGATATTTTGTACAGAATTAACCTACATTTTTTTGTAAATCCTCAAAATCTATAATAATCTCATAAGAATTGTCCTAGAAGTTTGATGGTATAAACGTAATATATGTTATATGGCCATTAATATTATTAGCCATTATAAATGTTACCGTTATGTATAAGTTAATATGCAGTCCTATTAAAAAAATCTCATTTTAATTAGTTTGTTTTTCAGAATGTTTGTTTAGTTGTAACATGTTGTTTGTTTCAGGTGGAATGTCCGCTGTGTATGGAACCTTTGGAGGTGGACGATCTCAACTTCTACCCGTGCACATGTGGCTACCAAGTGAGTTTACAGACACGCAGTGATATTATGGCAATAGTAATCTTAAGATCTTGGTCCACTAGAGGCGGAAGAGCCGACAAGCCGGCTCCTGTACTCTAGTTAGTCCCTCGTGAGTAACGTCAGCAATACACGTCTGCTCGTGCGGGTCGCTTTTATTGCGTGTTTTTTTTTATGGATTGCTTTTTATTTTTTTTTATATAAATTGTTAATAAACTACAGACCCGTATTTGACTAAAGGAAAGTTTAGTTGAGTATAGGATACAGTTATTATTTGTTTGTCTATGGTATGAGTTGATAGCCATATGATCAATTCGAGGCAATATGTATGTTTTTGTATGTAGTATATTGTCACGAAAACAACAACAACCAGGAGTAGAACCAAGTGTTTTAAAAAGAACGGATAAAACGGATAAAATATAACGGATAAAATAAAACTGCTTTGTTACACGATATTAATTGACTCACGATTCGCATAATTGCTCAAGTTATTGAAAGTATATGAAATCAATTTGTAACTTCATCGTGATGACTGTGATGACAGATAAAAGGCCATCATTCATTGTACTAAACCATGTCTTTTGTAATTTTATTTTTACAAGTAATATTTTCTTATTATGTTTGTATAATGAAAAATGATTAGATGTAAAAATATGCATAAGATTTTAAATATTGCTTACTTTTAATGCAAAGAAAATAACGATTTAACTAAACTGTCAACATTGTGCAATGTTAAAACAAGATTATCTTATAATAATGAAAAAAAGAAGAAAACAAAGTGATTACTTATTCGACTTAACATATACAACTGTTTTTGTTTTATCTTTCATATAAACACAGCTGTTTTTTCATTATATGACATAATTATATGACTTTATAGTATATTTTTGATTATTAAATAACATTTTGGTGACGTGACGTAAGTGCATTTTTATGTTGCTCAAGGAGGAATGGATAGAGGACCTATGTCACAATGTCTTATGGATTTCTACATCACGGTGCTATGCCGTGACACGTCGTCCTGTATACGTGCTGATACAGCAGCAAAATAAATATGTATTATATCATAAGATCAGAATTTAGTGTCCAATGACTTCGCCAAAAGGTCTACTAGTTCAGTTTTTTCCAGATAAAACTGGCACTATTTTGTTCCTTTTTAATATACGATTGCCATTGCTTTTATTTAAAGTACACAATAGAAAAAAAAGGAATAATAAGCGTGCTCGGACACATGTGAAATTTGACCGTGTAGTTGTTATAAATAGTATGGGTATTTAACAGATATGTCGTTTCTGCTGGAACCGCATACGGGAGGGCGAGAACGGCCTGTGTCCCGCCTGTCGGAAGGCATACCCCGAGAACCCGGCAGACTTCACTCCGCTCAGTCAAGAGCAGGTAATGTGTACGCATTAATGGCATTAAAACATACTTTATACCGTTTTAACTCACCCTGTTTTAGCCTGGCCTACCTTTATTTGGACGGACGGGAAATGTATTATAGCATACCTCGCTTCTTCTTACCCTTCGACGACTTATGTGGGGCTCTACCCCGCCGGAGTACCTCTAACTTATCCTACCCTATTTTCCTGCTCTATCCTATCTGATTGGACGATTTTAAGCCTTAACTATGTTGATTTTTCAGTTCAAAATTGAATTTAGATATTTGGCACTTATTGTCGCTAGAGTTATGCTGCTGGAAAAGCAAAGTTTTGTGTCTTTATATAATTTTTATTATGATACAGGTTGCAGCAATAAAGACGGAGAAAAAGGCTCGCGAGCAGAAACGGCGGAACAAGACGTTGGAGTCGCGGCGAGCACTAGCGAATGTTCGCGTTGTGCAGAACAACCTCGTGTTTGTCGTTGGACTGCCTGTTCGGCTCGCCGATCCAGAGGTGAGAAAACATGATTCGTACGAATTAACATGACACCTAAGTGCCGATTCTATTTGTGCTCAAACGAAAATTGGTATAACTTCGAATCATTCTTATAATTTTGTTAAAATCATATCTGTGAAGATTGTTTGTACATCAGAGGCAGTGGCAGGTACTACTTTCATTGCATCATAAATTATCGAATAATTTGTTTGGAAAATAGACGAAATTACGTTTTTGGAGAAATAGAATGGGCCTCCAGGTGTCATGTTAATTTGTACAAGTAGTAGATGATTTGCGAAAATTTGCATCCAGCTATCAAGCTATATTAAACTATATATTAAATTAAACTTATTATTTGATTGACACAAAAAATTATGTTTTTTTATTATGGTAACGGAAAGTGAATTTATAGTCTAATGAAGTAATTTTTTATATATTTTTTTATATTATTTTTATATATATATGTTATTTTTGTTTTGTTTCAGATCCTAAAGAGGCAGGAGTACTTTGGCAAATATGGCAAAATTCACAAAGTAGTTATAAACCAAAGTACTGCATATGCAGGGTCACAGGTAAGTTATTATTTTGATCTGGTGCTAGAATTTTTGTAAAAGTCATATGTTATTAAAAACAAAAAAAAAATAATGTTGCATTTACATTCAGCTGAAATAACAGGTGTCTGTATGAGCACAATGAGTATGTTAATACTATACTTCATGCAACTTACATTGATTGCCACTTGTGCTCTCCTCAAAAGCGTTTATATTCAGGAACCCTATATGATGCGATTATAAATTTCTTTTGTCATCTAAACTTAAGCCATACGAGACTGAAGTAACTGTATTATAAAAGTTCGCTTATAACAACGACTATTCAGACCTAATGAAAAAATAAATAGGTGGGTCGAACACTGGGACCTCAAACTCTCTAATTAATCACTTAACTATGAAGGCTGTCAAAGATTAATAAATCCGCTTCAGTTTTTAAAGTATGTATATTTTTTCATTTGTTTTAGTATTTTCACGTGAGTTTGTTTAATTATATTTTGACATTAAAAAAATTAAAGGTGTTAAAATAGAATAGTCCATTACAGTGACTCAAACTTATTTTTATTTGAGAATGAAAATCAAATATTAACAGAACAAGCACCGAGTTTTGTCTTCTATTCTACTTAACATTCGTCAATGCTTTAAAGCAGGACACGATAAGGTTCAAGATGTATTGAAAATAGATTTTAATACTTAGTTCAAATTGTAGCCTTTGTTATGGAACGTTGAGCGCAAATCGGTTTTGTAATGAGCTTTATGCTAGATATCTGTGTGTAATGCTTGCATTAGACAATTCCAACGAATGTCAATTTAACAATATCTTTCATTTGATATAAAAAAAAACCGCGCGATTGCAATCAAGTAGTTGTAGTGTGAATATTTTTCGAATGTCAAATAGGGGTGGACTTTTTTTATATTTTTATTATACAATTTATATTTATTATATAATTCATCTAAATATATAGATTTTTCAAAAGTAACGTTCGTTTAATAAGTTTAACATCTAATAATAAATTTGGCTATCAAAACACCAACCCCCGCGAAAACACCAACTACTATCATGGCGTCGTTGTGACGTCACGGTCCTCTGAAACTAATATCGTTCTATTATGCATAACGTTCAATTCTCTGAAGTTCTAATGTTAGTAAGAGGGAAGTGATTTTACGTGACAACGAGACCGCAAACAGCACGTGTTTATGTTTAGTTTATAAATATAATAAGCATAACTTTTATTTATAATTAATTTAAGCAACATTATAAATATAATCAGTGTGATTCTCGATTATAGTATATCAAACATTGCCAGATTTTTTTTTTTTATTAATTTTCGTTTACTGCTACACCCGCATTGAAAGACAATTAGCGTTTGTTTAGTTGTATGTATGTATGTATACGCGTTATGACGTGCGCGTCCGTTCCGTGTTAATTGCAGGGTCCGTCGGCGTCGGCGTACGTGACGTACGTGTCGCCGGCGGACGCGTTGCGCGCGATACAGGGCGTCAACAACGTGACGCTGGACGGACGGGTGCTGAAGGGCTCGCTCGGCACCACCAAGTACTGCGCCAACTTCATGAAGAACCAGCCCTGCCCCAAGCCCGACTGCATGTATCTGCACGAGCTAGGTAAAACGACACCACTTACATTATAAATGTTGTTTTTTATTTAATTTTTGCAACCAAATACATAATAACTGTTTTAGTTCTAGGTGTTATATTTTTGTGGATAATTTTATTTGACCTAGATGTAGCAATTTTAAGTATTATTGACATTTATTATAAAAGGTTGTTATTATACCAAATATAAAAAGATAATAAAAACAAATAACCGATCTTTTCCGTTATAGAAGAATGTGTTACTTGTTTATGTTACACATAAGTAACACATAAGTACACACATACACACATAAGTAACAAAAACAAGTTACACATTCTTCTATAACGGAAGAGATTGGTTATTTGTTTATTATTATCTATTTATATTTAGTATAATAACAACCTTTTATAATAAATGTAAATAATACTTAAAATTGCTACATCTAGGTCAAATAAAATTATCCACAAAAATATAACATCTAGAACTTAAACGGTTATTATATATGTTGTTGCAAGAATTAAAAAAAAAAGAACATTGATGGGTACTTAAACATTCCTTTACTACGGCACTTGACGTAGTATACGTCCAATTAAGATAAGTAATAGACCTGCAACTTTGTTAAATAAAACATCAATTATACATTTCTTAGTTTGTATGATATTTATTTATAGTTAGATAATTATTTAAATATTTTAAGGCTATTCAATCATTTAAATATACATATAATATACATATGGATAGTTACAATTAACATTCATATAATTAACAAAATATATGAATATAATTAAATAATAAACAAATAAAAACAATATCATAATTAAATCATTGAAAAATTTTAGTGGGTTAAATTGTACTTTTCCCAAATTTTTCTTATCTGCATATTGTTTATTTTATGTAATTTACATTTTCATTATACATTTATAAGTTAAGGTCAGTTCGAAGGGTATGTTCTGGTTTTGTTAAAATGTTTATTCTGTTGCTTAATATCTCGAACATTTTACTAATATTATATATGTGAAATTTCTTCACACGCCAAAGAAAAACAGTGAAATACAGCAACATCAAGTTTGATTTTGAGAACTACATTTTTAAATAAATTCACATTTTATGTTAGTCTAATTAAATTAATTTTAACACAGTTTTGTTAGAATGAAAACGAGCTATTATTTCTTAGCAAATTTGTGCCTTAATATCGGCTGAACAAGTGTTATTATCCCGTACAGGTGATCCTAAAGCTTCGTTTACTAAGGAGGAGATGCACGCGGGCTTGCATCAAGTGTATGAGAGGAAATTACATAATCAATTGCTGCAAGCGCAGCGGGATAAACCCGACGAGAAGCAAGCATCAGGTATTACGTTATAGATAGATATATAAAGGCTTTGAATCTTACCTAAATCATTTTACAATATCATTTATAGGTTAAGCCATTTTTAAGGTCCTTTATTGGATTCCCTGTCATGTCTTATGTTCGTAGCCAACTGGAATATGCGTCTCAAATTTGGAATCCTAGATATGCTATTTATATTGACAGAATTGAAGGCATTCAGAAGAAATTTATAAAGTTTCTGTGCCATAAGATGAATAGACCATATGATTCATCTGAATACCTCCAAGTATGTAAAGAGCAATATTTACTGCCACTAGTGTTCCGTAGAACAGTAGCCGACATTGTATATCAACTTAAAATTATAAATTGTCAAGTTGATTGTCCAGAATTGTTGCGTATCATCAAATTTTCAGTCCCGACAAGATCGCAGAGATATTACCGACCTATAGCGATTCCCTCGTCATCTACAAATTATAGGCAAAATAGCTTTATTGTTAGGGCCAGCATAAGCTTAAATATAATGCTTGAAGAGTGTGGGTATGATGTAGACATCTTCGATTGCAACATTAATTCATTTAAGCGGAAACTAATAGAACACTTACTGTCTCGTTAACTTATGGCGCAGGTATGATTACTTATTTGATTGTGTAGCTTGTGTGCGAATTTACTGGTTAGATCTAAGCTATTTCTATATGTGGAAACCTATAATTGGCTTAATGTTTTTTAAACTGAAATCTATCATGTTTGTTTAGCTGTTGGTTTTCCAAGAATAATAAATAAATAAAAATAAAAATGTCAATCTAGAGAAATGTTTCATCTATATTGACTCAGGTATTGAAATATCTTCATTGTTACGGATTTCCATATAAAAGTAACTTCATTTGGGATCTGTACAATGTATGTAATGTTGTTGAATATTAAATATTTTTTACCTCTCAACTTTTCCATTTTTGTCTTTAAAATGGCCTTGCTTGGTCTTTAATGGATATTTGTGAAAATACCTTTATCTCTTCTAAAAATTTACTAATTATTATGATAAAATTATTAAAAAATAAGTCTCTTTCAACAATAAAACATGTCATATCAATTTATTTACTAACAATTACAGGCAACCCTAGTACGAATGCAGAAAAAGGCAGTTCAAAAGATGGTATGACCATTTCTTAATTAATATCTAATTGTTACATTTTACTTTATTCTATTAATTATTTATCAAATATTTGTGTGTTTTAGGTAATCAATCGAACTTTATACCGACAACAGTGGTCACCTCGTCACATATAAATGTAGTCAATTCATCTAAGTGAGTATATTTTTGCTAATGTATCTTTTTATGAGTCTCTTTTGAAGTCAATTTCGTCTCCGTTTCTAAGAGTTATTTTTTATTTTTGTAATATTATATTTTTCTTATTTACAAATTTTAGTAAATAACATAATGCTAATTTTGAAAAAATGTATTAGTTAATTGCTTTTTTTATATATAGTCCATTTGTATTTCTCAGTCGAAAATTTGGAATTTCTATCACCGCTAAATATTCCATAACTGATTTTTAAAACTACATTTACAAAAGATATTTCTTAGAACATAATCACTCTTCATCTATTACAGTATAAATTTACGCCGAGAATGCACTTAGTATTAGTCAAAATTCAAATTTTTAAACAGAAAATTAGCAAAGATTAACCTAGTACGAGGTTTAACGAGAGTAATATTTACTCTTAGAAGCTATTTATATATGAATTTGGACTAATAATAAAATTGTAATTGTAGCTTAAATTTAGTCAGAAGCTAAACCTTGTTTATAAATAGCACTGTTAAGAGTAATTTACTATCAGTTGTTCTATTATATCGTCAAGTGTTTAGTATGCAATGCGTTTTATTAGCATTCTAGTACGTACCTAAAATCTTACCACAAATATTAGAATATTTTATTTACAGATTTTTTAATCTTTATTATTTGCGTCTAGTTTAGTTTCGCAATTACGAAATATAATATTTATAAATAGTTAGTGCATATGTAATATAAGACAAATAAGAGGAATCCTTTGTCTCGTTAAGGTGTAAGAAGGAAGGGTCTAGCAACAGTAATAGTAATAGTACCGTGAGCAGCAGCAGCAGTAACGGTAGCAGCGGTAGCAGCGGCAGTAGTGGCAGCAGCGGCAGCGGGAAGGAGGCGTGGCCCAGCTTGGGATGTTCACCACCCACCGGTAGCCCGGCCCGGACACTGCCCAACATACCCAGCCCCAGACCAGGTATGACACGTACAAATTAACATGACACCTGAGGGTTTCTCAGAATTTTCGAATCCTTATAATTTTATTTATAACCATATCCGTGAAGATTATTCACACATTAGTAAATAATAATATTTTTTTGCAAACTATATTGTAAAGGGTTTCTTTTGAGACGTTCATTTTGTATTTATAATTTGGGAATAAATATTTTCGAACTTATTAAAGAAAATAGACAAAAATACAAGAATAAACAAAATGCTTGTCTTAATAAAAAAAAATCTCTATTTATGAATGCTAATTTGTTGTAGTTAAATCACAAGAAAATGGCACATCAGAATCATCAAGTCCCACACTCCTACAACAGCACCAACAGACAAAAAGCAAAGATCACACAGACACAAAAACCAATAGAAATAAAGAGAACGGCACAAATATACAACAGGCGAAGAAGAGCAAAAACGACAAAAAGAAAATTAGCAATAGTATACACGACATCAACGACGACACGGATATTAGGAAACAATACAATTGTGCACAGACGCAGTCTGTGTTCGAAAGTGAAACACAAAACTTCCTAACAAACGATTTAGATGAACTCGAATCAGATAGACACAGCTTATTGGAAAACCACAATTTATTAGATAATAGCGATCACAGCTTACTAGAGGATGACAACACACACAATCTATTAAATGATGCTAATAATGAAGTCATGATGATGCAGAGGCACAGAGAAATGCTCGCTGGTCTTGTCGACAATAATCATGTAATGCCACACATGAAGAGCTCTTTAGTCAATGGTTACGGGTTATTGGATAGAGATATGACTTATATAGGTAACGATAGGCCTCTTAGTCAAATTAGCCAAGGTCTTATGGATCAGAAAGAATTGATGTTAAGAGAAAGGAGCAGGAGTGAAATGATGATGAGACAGAATGAGCTCTTGGCGAGACAGCACAATGTAGTCATTGAACCTAAACACTATATGCCCATATCTAGTATAGCGCTCGAGTCTGCTAGTGAAATATTAGGTAAGTCTAATAAATAAAATCGGAATTAGGGTTATCTGTTATTGTTATCTAATTAATCTAACTCATTGCAGGTGCTAATTTTCATCCAAATCCCAATATACTTCCACCATTTGGAATGCGCATAGATAATTCAATGGGCACTAGCGGTATGTCCGGAAATATGCAGTCCGGACCTAGTCTGGCGTCCGGTGTGTCCGGCATGACTAATAATATGGGCTTCATGATGCACAATCAACAGATGATGCAACAACAGGGGCTAGTGAACGGGTTCGATGCCCCGCAAAATACAGTGAGTTTAAATTTATAATTTTTATTATTCCATCACGATTTAAGCATAGCTTAATACTTACCTAATACAGACTATACAGACATTTAAACAGAGTAAGTATACAGAAGATAACAAATAGCTAAAAAACCTTAAAATAGTAACATCTATTCAGCTATAGTACAATAGCATGCAAATATTTAATGAGGAAGTATTTAAAAAAAAAACGAAAGCACTAATAAGCACCTCCACTAGATGGCCACTCTAGCAAAAGTCGATTTTTGCAGGAAACGAATTGACCAAAGACAATCATTTCCGTTCCTTTTAACTAACATATTAAAAAACTGAAATTTGAAAAGTTCGAAACTTAGATATCAATACAAATTCGAAAAAGAAATCAAGAACGTACAGTAGCGACATATAGATTGATTTCGGGAACTAATAATTTTTCAATACTTCTTCATTGAATAAATGGAATGACATGAATTTATTAGTGTGTCAGAACTCTAGTTATAACTGTTATTTAACTATCTTTCGCCAGCGGCTTCGGCTGCGTGGTCCCTAGGGAAATGTTTAGTGGGATAAAAAGTATTCTATTATCTAAGTCAGCTAATACCCTAGCTGTATACCAAATTAAATCATAATCCGTTCAGTGGTTTTGACGTGATTGACTAACAAACATTCAAACAAAGAAACTTACATTTATAATATTAATAGGATTACAGTTGAATTATAGTTAGCTAGAGTTTTGACATAATGTAATAATTAAATTTCCATGTAAAATAATATTAATTGTGAGTGCTATATAATTTAATATCAATTTAAAAATACGATACAAATATAACATCTTGCTGACTGAGTGTGAAAGTTGTGCGGTGTGGGTGTTTCACAGTTACAATAGGCTTTCTTAATAAGATTGCTTATAGATTGCAAAAAATTCACAATCGATGTTTGTCATAACAATCGTTATGTGTCGTGTAGAGCGAGGGCCGGTATTTGGCTGAGAACATGGACAAGTTCTTCACTGACTTCCACAAAACGCAACAACTTAGGCTGATGAGTCGCGGCGACGATACAAGATACCACGATCAACAACACTATCCGCACAACATGCTTAGTGCTGAAAGATTAGAGATGGAACACAAACAGAGGTAATATCATATTTTAAATATATACTAATATAAAGATTTGTTTTATTTTTGTACGTCTATTTGTAATGAATAAATACAAAAACCCTTACAGGTAAGAAATTCATTATCAGCCAGTGACATAAATTATACAGGGTTATTTGTACACCAGCGACCTCGCAAGACTGTGTAGATACATCATAACAACATTTGAATTACGAGTTTAACGATAACCTATACTTTAAACATTTTTTTTTTCTATTGTATTGTCGTGACATTTATAGGTCTATGTTTTATTCACAAACATTAGGACGATACTATTCTAACTATATCTTGGTGCTACGCGTAGAGATATAAACATTCGAATGGTAAATTTATTTTGTATGAAACTAAAACTTAACGAATTTTATTAGAAGTCCTTGTTGTTATTATTTGTGATCATTTATAACTAACCCTATATAAAAAATCCCTGCTTAATTGTGACAAAGTATTCATAGGCTGTACGAGGTTCACCGGGTAAGTTAGTTTTGGTGATACGAGAAATTCGGAAAATCACGTTGGTTACTGTAAAACCCAATTAAAGTGATTTGCGTACCTAAAATTTTAAAGCGCGGCAATTATCTACCAAGTAGAATGGTTGAAGTCATCAACGCTCATGACCAATGTTGTCAAGTTTGATACGTGAGGTATCTACTTTCAGATATACATCGACCCTGTGACGGAAACCTTATTAACCAATTATATACATTATGTTTATTGAAACAAGGTTGATTATAAATTTTACCACAATAAACTTAATTGATTAAATATAATAAGTATATTATTTTTCATTTTCATGGAGTTTCGTGATATACAACGTGTCCCAAAATTCAACGATAAGCGGGCGCCAAGAGGTAGACCTGCTCATGTGTACTTATGGAAAAATAAGAAAAAAATTATATCTTATTAATCTTTTTTATTATAAAATAAAATTCGAAAATTTTCGAAAGAGTTGTAGCGAATAGTAGTGCTACTTAGGTATCCGATACCAAGAAAAGATTGAACATAATTGAGAAGTTGTGGTCGTGGTAGTTGAAAATATCATAAAAGGTGTAAATTTTCGAAGATTTTCGAATTTAATTTTATAATAAAAAAGATAAGATATTTTTTTTTCTTATTTTTCCATAAGTACACATGAGCAAGGGTACCTCTTGGCGCCCGCTTATCGTTGAATTTTGGGACACGTTGTATAATAACAGAATTAAAATCATAGGAAAGCAAAATACAACATTTCGTTAACTTCGATGCTGTAAATATAGTAAACTAAATTCGATAAAAAAAAATATGGGACCACCTATTTTGAATTTTACAAATCGGTCTATAATTCATAGAGAAATCGGTAAACATACATACAATTTAACATAGAACCTCCTTTGAAGTCAGTTAAAAAGTGTCGGTTCACGTTAATGCAACGTAGAGAGCGGTAGTTGAGAGTAGTGATAATGGTATGCAGGATGAGCAACATGCGCGGGGAGGGGGCGGGGCCGCGGGCCGCGGGGGACGGGGACGATGACCTCGACTTTGATCCATTCAAAGAAACACAGAAGGCGCTCGCCGAGATGATGGAGACAGAGATGATGCAGAACACAGTACCCAGCGGGTATGAACGTAGATTTAGCGGCTTACTATTATATAGTTAAATTTTCTATCTATTTTTATTTTCATGCTAGATTCCTTGCGAGATAGGTCGAGTGAACCGAGTGCCAAAAGTTCTATCGCTTCCTTAACATTGATCCCAGCTAGGAAAACGACTCTAAATACAGCTGTACATTTGGTGATATAAACGTGGCAATATAATATAAAATGATCCCATTTATATCACTTTTTATTTGATGCAGTGTATCTATTGTAGCTCCATTTCGAACTACTTGGATACATAATACAGCTTTTAAGTGTTTTAAAACACAGATATACAACTAGAAATGATAACCGTTACACATATACGACTTAAATATCACTATTTAGTGATCTGCTTGTCTGTTAATGCAATTTTGCTAGCTGGGATAGCTTTTTCATTTGTGCTCGCCTGTTTTTTTTTATAGCTTCACCTGCCATGAATTCAATCATCAACGATTTTGATTAATTTGATCGTGATGATGTATCTTGGCTCTCCCCTGCTTTTACATCCTTTTGCATTATATTTCAGTTTTGTCCATTATCCGGCATGCCAATGTGTCAGATTGACTTTCTTATTTACGAATGTGGTTTGAGAATGGTACTGTGCAAATTCAGCGTAAAGAACTCATCTGGACTGCATTTATTCTTGCATGTTCGCACTGACATACCCAACTCTCGCTACCGTACATTAACGTTGAAATCAGCACGGCATTGTGTATAATGAGCGGTTTTTTCTGCTTTTACTGACAAGAAGTCTTCCCAACGCTTCATTTACATTGTTCCCTGCACCCATTCTCCTTCCTATGTCAGCTGTGTACCTTCCAACCCTGCTTAAAGCACATCTAAGATATAAAATTCACTCATTCACTTGATCCAGCACTAATAGTAACATCTCTTTCAAATAGTTTGCTTTCCTTAGCATTCATTTTTAAGCCTTTGCTCATACGATTGGATACTAGACAGGAAATAATAGCTTATATGTAAACAATAATTATGTAGTATTTATGCTTTAAAATAAATTGTATATTTATTTTATTTTGCAAAATTAGGTTGTGATTTGCAATACAATCTGCGAATCAAAATCGAAACGCGGGCGGCCATTACAAAGCACTTGTGACGTCACATTTCAATAAACTAAACGTTACCGTTTTTGTTGCAAATACAATCATTTGCAACAAGTCATTTTTATTGAAATGTGACGTCATCGCTTGAAATGTCACTGACTTTTTTTCACGGGGCAATTCAAAGAATGAATAGAAATATGTTTGTCCTTTATTCAAAAACGCTAGTGAAAAATAAATAGTACTTTTTCTCTTGCTTCAATTTAACGAGAAATTGCTTAGATAATAGGCATCAAAGTGGAGGCTCATTAAGTCGCAACATTGAAAAAAATGTACTAAGGTGTGACGTCATTGCAATATTTCAACTGAATGGATCGCCATACTTTATTGATTACGCAAAAAAAAAAAACTTTTTGAATGCTCTTTAACAACCTACCCGATTGACAGAAAAAAAATTTTCTTCAGCCGTTTTACAGGATAGTTATCATCTCAACAGGGTATTTGATAACATTAAAAATTATGGTCATCTTATAAAGCGTAATTACAAATATTTCACTATATTTTAAACGATACTATACATTTTGCGGATTACACAAAATAAAATAATTTTCTTTTTTGACACTTTATCTGAAACGACAACGCCTTATAAGTGCTTGTAATTCCGATGACGTCACGTGCTAGTAAAAATGGCATCCTAAATGACTTTAATTTATTCGATTGCATGTGACGTCATACGGGGCATAACGGCGACATGACAGGCACATCGTTTTTCGCGCGGTTTCTGAAGTTAGTCAAATATTAGTTGCCGATATGAGCCAGAATCAGTCATCACTACATAGTATAAAACAAAGTCGCTTTCTCTGTCCCAATATAAGGATATTGGGACAGAGAAAGCGACTTTGTTTTATACTATCTATGCTTAAATCTTGAAATCTACGCAACGGATTCAATGCGGTTTTTTTCGTAGATAGGGTGATTCGAAAGGAAGGTTTTTATGTATTATACAAGACCACGCGAACGAAGCCGCCGGCGGAAAGCTAGTTGTGTTTTATATCAACGTTGGTTTGTATTGCAGCGATAGTATGGACCGCGTACGACGGTCCCGTCTCGCCCCGCCCGGGTTCAGTCACATGCCGCCCGCGTACAACAACATGCAGAGACATGCCAACGCTCACAACCACCCAGGTCAGTATTCCACTAGCATATGCACATAAACCCCAAACGATACAAAAATATACAATCTTATTCTTTTCTAAAAATGTATATATACATACTAGTGATTCCTAGACTTTATTACTCCACGGACTCTAAGGAAATTCAAAAAGTATCATTTGAAATAAAACTGAAAAAAATAAAATTGAATAGTAACATTAAAAGTGGATGACAAATTTAAGAAAAACCTCGTTCAGTTAATCACCGCTCGCACTTAATTATAAGATATTAATTTATGAATCATAACTAAATAATTTCTACAATCAAATATTAACACTCGTATTTATAGTCGAGTAGAAGTAATAACTTGGATATAAGTTATAACCAGTGGTCGGAATTAGGTAGAGTTATTCATGTACTTACACTGATTTCATACAGCGAAAGAATAAAGTGGATATGCCTCAAATCCCGAGATTAATTTTAAAGAGCACAAAAAATCCCGTGATTTTTTAAATAAAACGTTATTTACTTTTACACAATTTAAACTACTGCACGCACGACGTTGCTAAACTTACATCAATGACATCGGATTTCCAATGTTGCAAAATACCAATACGCGCGATGTTGTCACGAAGGTCCACATTAATATCAACATTTCGATGCAAGAACATAAATAACTCCACCTAATTCCGACCTCTGGTTATAACATAACAATAAGTTAATATATGATTCAAAATTTAATTAGTTCAAATTCATTTATATAGCGAATAAGCAAACCTACCTTCTAGGAGTAAATATTACTCCCGTAGAACCTCATACTAGGTTAAACTTTGCTAATCCTCTGCTTAATAATATAAATATTGACTAATACTGAGTGCAGTCTCAGCAAAATAAAGCTAAACCTTGTTTTTAAATAACACTGTTATAGTATTACCAATATATAAATTAACAGCACAACTGTAAGAATTAGTACGAACTAGATGAAAAAAAAAACCAACATCAGTGGTATTTACTACTGCTCGCTCACTCTCACCCACGCCTGTCACATAATTGCATTTCACTTTCACTCGGTTTAATTCGGGTACGTTCGTTTTGCTTGCTTCATCACAGTGAATGCCAATAACGGCAGAGGCGTGTTCTGAGGTCGTTTTTCGTTGTTAGGTTAACGGTTTAACGATATTCTGCCCAGCTATAGAACTGGTAATAATAGTTATCAAACTTTTGATACTTCTGACTTCATTCAAATTCTTATTTATTTGTTAAAAACATTTGCTTAATTTAATACTTATACTCGACTACAGATGTGATTCTTGTGTATTGTCATTGCGCTTGACGTATTGCCTGTGTGGTTATCTATAGAATCCTCTTCAATTGCAGGTTATAGCTCGAACACAGCAACGTTCGCAGATTGGACACAAATGGACCCGGCTATAATGTCGACGTCAGTGCAGAACTTGGGCAAGAGCGCCCCCCCCACCTCCGCCCAGCTCAGCCAGCAGCAGCAGGAGCTGTTCGCGCGCTTCAACCAGCTGGGCGTGGGCCCCCCACAGCCTCCCAACGGCCTCAACAAACTCCAGCTGCCGCTCCTGCAGCAGTGGGGGCAGCAGCCCCAGAAACTAGCCTGGGGACCCTACAACGGCATCCCGCTGCCCCCCGGCTTCGCCCCCGCGAAACCCCCCCAACATCCCGCCGAATGCATCGACGCCAAGTAAAACACAACAAAGAAACGAAACAGTGCAATCTTTAATAAAAAAATAAAATAAAATAAACCACAGCGGATATTATAAAATTTTCTATTTCAGTAACGTTTATGTTTCTTTCCGCCGGTGATTTGTGATCGATAAATCTTTGTATTGAATTGAGAAGAGCATTATTTAAAGAAAAAAAAAAAATACGAGAGAAATATGATAACAGAGGAATTTGTAAAATAAATTAACATATTTGTTTTATTTAACAAAAAGGTTTGATTTCTTTTTCTTTCTTCTCTTTCGCGCACCGGACCGGTCTCGGCAGGCGTCGTTTTCGCGCCGCGTCTGTCGTTAATATTCTTATCATATTTCTTTACGGTGATCTTTATCACGTTTCTCGTTCTATATTTCGTGACGCATAATATATGTATATTCGTTATATATTTACTAGAATCGTATCCCTGTTACGACAAATTATATTTTCTATATTAAAATGAGATGCCAATAAAATGCCTGTTCCATTTGTACCTTATTGAGCCATTGATCATGAGATAGACCATTAAAAATTAAAGGAAGAACATTATCCATATTCTTTTAATGATCAACCTTCGTTGATGAGATATCCTAATTGTAACATTGAGACCTCATCAATGTACGAGTATATTTCAAACGGCAGACAAAGACAGTTCTCGGTAGGAACGTAGTTCAAGGTAGGGAGGTAAATTATTAAGAAATAATGTTGATCAACCCAGATAGGTCTATAAAATATCACACTTAAATGGCATTCACCCATTGTATTGATTTAGGGTTCGACTCCCACACATGTTTAAGTATAATGTACGTGTTACATTGTTATTCAAACTTATGGTCTTAGCCCACCCCAGGTTATATTAGGTTAAAGAGCTTCAATATTCGCACTTACGCTTTAATCAGTCCAAGAGTTGGCTGTCTAACTATACCCATAAGTACAGAAGCTTTTTGGGGTTTTTACAGTTCTAACGGAAGATGCGGCGTACTTCATCGGTAGCGGAACATCAGAAATGACATTCAACCATATTACCCGTGAGGCGCTTGATTGAACTTGACTCTTTTTAGGTGAAGATCTAATACAGTGATTCCCTTAGTGGTCCAGGTGGACCCCCAGGGGTCCAGGTGAACCCCCAGGGGTCCACGAGGGATTCGACGGGGGTCTATGTTGGCGTGAAATAATAATAGGGCACCAATTTCGACCGTAAGGAATGTGGAAAAGTATGAATAATGAAAAAATCCGTATATAAACTTATGATACGTTTAATTAAGAATTGGAATAATCTACTTTTGTTTCGATAGTTGCCCATCGATATACGTTCTGGGGTCCGGCCCATCCCATGGTACAGGAGTGCCATCGTGCCACACGTATAGGCCTCCGCCCTCGGGCTTCAATGCCAGTCGGATCGGATGTACGGCGCCCTGCTGTGGCGTTACCGAACCGCCTCCCCGAGTCATATCAGACATCACGTAACCAGGATGAACACAGTTCACCGTTATACCTGGAACAAAATAAATCCATACTAATATAAAAATAGAAAAGTGTGGTCACAAAATAATTAATTCGCAATAAAGCACGTCTTTCAAATTCAGTGTCTCTGATAGATTATTTATTCGTTCGGACGGATATGGTGGCGACATCTACAAAACTGGAACACAAAAACTACATCATACACAAACATACAAATTCTGTATAATAAATTGTCGTCTAGTGATATAAAATCGACTTTAAATAAAAATCAAGAGGTTCTCTATTCAACTGCTAGTCTATTATGCATTTTTCGTGATATGTGGAATTGAGGACGAATCTTGTTGGTAGATATAGGTTGCTGTATATAATAAAATAAATAAACCAAAATAAAATATATTCTTTTATCATGCCTTTATTATGATAAATATTTTACTGATATGGCGAGTCCTGAATAAGCGATATCTACCCATAGCCCTAACATCACCGCAATAATCTACTACAAGACAACACAGTTTCAATATGGCGCTAAGGTGCTGTCTGTATCGCGCTTACAAAGTTTCTACAGCAATACCGTCCGGAGTAACAACGTAGAAGACAATTTCCAAACATAAAAACAACATAAAAGAGTAGAAACAAGAGATCTCACTTATTTCATACCACAACACAACCACCTCGGGTTTTTTATCTGACTGCAAGACAAAAAAGGGTTGCTAGAATAAACATTTTATATTGAAAGTTTGTATTGTAGTAAGCTTTTTCATTAAAATGAAGTAGTATTGTGCATACCTTTATTAAACAATTTCCTATGCAGCATAAATGTGTAAGCATTTACGCCTACTTTAGAGATAACGTATGGTGAATCGCCCCATCCTTTTTCTATATCTTTGCCCTCCCTAACATCCTCCACATAACTTTTCATCAGCCTCTTCAACTCATCCAGACTCAAATCAATTGAACGAAATTTATTTCTCAATTCTTCTGAGGGTATTCTAGAGAGATGTCCTGATGAGCTTGAAATATTAACTATTTTTCCACCGTTTTTAATCAATGGTAAAATTGCCTCAGTAAAATTAACTAATGCAGTGAAATTAACAGCGATTGTCTGTTCAGCTTGATATGACTTAGGTTCGGTTGAATCTTTCAAGAAAAGTATGCCTGCATTATTTATTAAAACTTCGATCTCTTTGTGTTCCTGGTTGATGAAATTGCAAAAACTTTTAACATTGTCTTCATCGGTGATGTCCAATTGATGATATTTAGGATTGTAACCAATCTTTTTCAGCTCTTCACACGCACTTTTGCCTCTATTTTCGTCACGTGAAGTTAAGTAAACAATTCCATCATAATTTGAACAAAGTCCTTCGACAATCGCAAAGCCAAGCCCTTTATTTGATCCTGTTACTACCGCTACATTATTGGGCATTGTTATTTGTATCTTTTTTATACTTAAATGAGGAGTTTTGTTATCATTATCTATTAAGTTATTAATAAATACTTATTTTGTTTGCGATAAGAGCCACAGAAAGAAGTAGGTATTGAATACAAGTTTGTTGATAAAGCTATAATAGAACATTTACCTACTTGAACCCCACTTATACTATAACAAGGATTTTATTTTATGAACAGATGTTTGGAGTATATTTTCTTTATTTATTTGGACATTTTATATTCTATTTTCTCATTGAATAAAGTTATAAACATATACATAACCTTCAATTCTACCCTAATAGCTTTAGTTCAGCTGTGTATGCGCAGTTTATTGATTGCGTCATTTGCGCGCGTTACTACGTGTTTTATATAAAGTAGAGTCGTAAAATTTTCACCTCTGTTTTCGCTGCACGTTATTTTAAGTGTGTACGTAACATAGATCTAAACTACATTATGAGTGGGCGTCTAAAACCAAAATGCTGTCCCTATCTATTATATTACGCCAGACAATGAGATAGAGGAATAGATATGATGCATTACGTTTCAAAGACTGAAACTTGTAAAAGTAATGGAGGATGTCATCGACTATGAAGTGACTCACAAAATCAATTTTAATTCCTTATTATAAAGAAATTGTGAATTATAGGGGTACCTTATCTTGTAATTTTTTATTTAAAGAATATTTTAAAATTCACAATTTAACGAACAGAACATTTAGAAATATGATATAGTTTGCTCGTTTTGAAATAAGGGCTTATTTGGAGGTTATTTCTTTAGATTAGACCAATCAGTTCTAAGTTAGTGATTTTTGTTGTAATTTCTCGTAATAACCTAACTTTTAGTCGACGTATATGTAGCAGCTAAGTGGTATAAACAACCGACCAGTTGGGCGGCTAGCTCATAAATTGAATTGGCGCTATTCAATTAACGGACTGACTTTAGATCAGGGGGCCAATTCTACTAAAAAAAAATTTGTTTAAATCGAATCGAAACCGAACGAAACTACAGTTTTTAATGGTTTTCCTATTCCTATGGTAGTAGTAGTATGCTGTACTACAAAAAAGTACAAAAGGTTATTAAGGCAATTAACTGTCAATTCATTGACAATACAGTTAGTAGTAAGTAAATTAAAATACATATTGTGGTTGGTGGTGGGTGATCCTTAATTGATACAGATACAGAAATTATCAAAAAGATAATAATAAACTGCTCAGCTGCGACTGGGTGTTAATGATCCATATGATCCAATACTAGTGTTTAAGCCCTGACTCGTAAGGTACGTCGTTTGAGTTAGTCGCGAAAAAATGAGGGAGTACTCGTTCTTAAATTTTGAACCACCGCGTTAGGCTACTCACTTTTTGAGGTGCAAACAGTTATTACACCTCAATGAAGTATGATAACTCGGCAGAATAGTGAGTTGTTTAGAATGAAAGGTTGAGTCGATATATAGTCAACATATTAACGATTGACTGAGGGAGTGGATCGGTTTTGTGAGTTTGACACTAAGTACGACTCGGAACTAGTGCCTTTTCAATTTTAAATTAATAATATTAATCGGTTGAAGTAGTGAGGCGGTAGGTACTAAGAAATAATAGTAAAAAAAATACACATTGAGTGAATAAAGAAATGAATAACTAAAAGGCGTTCATTCTGCGTAGGAAAATATTTTTACAAAATGTAATTATTATATTTTATTAATATTCAATCATTTATTTATCTCAAATGTTTCTCTCGGTTCAGTGAGTAATGACGCGCGCAATGTCAAAATATTCTCTTCATCTCACCTAAAATAAGGTAAAACAAGGTCCTCACTCATCTTCAATAACAACGCGCGAGTTACACAATACTATCCAATACAGGAAGCTAACGTACACACTTATTGCGTAAGTGGGTTAAGCTTAAACTTTCACGATAAATTTTTAATACTAAAACAATTATACAAAGACAAGTTATATCGCGTTACAGACGGCCTCGTCGCCATCTATCGAAAATGAGTTTAAGCAAGGTATATATGACTGACTGCCATTTTTTTAGTATGTTTATTACGATTTCTAAGTTTGGTGCAACAATAGTTAATAACAATATAAAATGATAAACGACGAAGTTATTTTGGTCCTGCAGGTCACGTGATAGGTAAGAATTTTAAGACAATCTCGAAGCGTAGCGTAGTGATCATTATAAATTTCGAGTTTATTTTTAATTACAGATAATAGAACTAAATGAACGTTTTGGCGGCTGTTAAATCAGTCGCTTTTTTGAACGGCCAAATGTCATAACGATTCAAATAGCTAGCCGCCCAATTGAACAGGTATTTTAACCAGATGGCTGCGACATATATATCATTAAGGTTTCTTCCGTTTTTGGTTTGGTTAGTTACCCTTGGACTACAGCAGTGTAATACCAAGATTACCAAGTCATAGGTACTCAAATAATATTCGCACATTTAAATATTTTCGAGATTTCGTGGTAATAAGTTGTCAATCGAGCCATAGACAAAACGAGTCGCGTGACACCTTCCGATAACGATTCGACCGCACGCTTTTCTGTATACCGTTTACTTAAAAATCGTTTATCACTAGTAGATACATATACTTAGTTATTATTACGCCAAAATATCAAAGCTAATTCAAAGGTAAAAAGGCGTAAAAATATACATATATCTTTATTCATTTTAAACGGGCAAATCGGTAAGTGTAAGAACATCATTGTTGTTCGAGAATGCACTATCAATGTTTATTTAAAACTGAAGATTTCCATATTTAGTCAGTCAGTTATCAAACTACCTACCTGTGCATAGTGGCTTGTATCAGAACAAGGAAATAATGTCTTTGACGGCTTGCAATCCATTTGGCGACGAAATGGTCCTTCGTTCGGTAGATTGGCTGGAGAATTTTCCATGGAGACAGGAAAATGGACTTAATATTAATAGGGATAAGTACGAAATTAACGTGAATGTAAAGGGTTTTCATCCAGAAGAAATAACGATTAAAGTGGTTAATGGTTTTATAGTTGTCGAAGCGTATCATGAAGAAAAGAGGGATGAGTACGGATATATTTCTAAGAAAATTGTACGGAGATTCCTTTTGCCTGATGACTGTGAACAAGAAAAAGTTGAGTCGAGAATGACCGCTGATAATATTTTAATAATAAGAGCTCCTAGAGAAATAGTGAAGCACGAAACTGTGATACCTGTAAAACATGAAATATCGATGAAGAGTAAACTGTGATACATACTAAAAAGTAAAATAAATTTTTAAGTTACTTTAAAGGCTTACGTTCTCATACAAATACGCATCGAGAGTAAAGACGCACTTGCTTGATTGCATACATTTTTAATCACAGAAAAAACCTGGGCAGTTATAAAAAAGTATTTTGTTAATTTTAAGCAAAACCTGTTTTTGTATATATTTCATAAATAGTTAAGATGTATTAGTTGTAAAATCAATTAAAAAACCAATCCAGAGTAATCTTTGCGTTTTTTTTATCAAGTCAAATATTGAAATGTATTGATCATATATGTAATTTCACATAAAATGAGCTTTATTTGGAAAATATTATCATAACCTTAGAATAAAATTGGTTTAAAAATGGTGATTTCCTACAACCTCGACTTTAAGAGGGCTATTACAGATACAAAAAAGTCCGCTACTACTTCGGCCGATTGAGCTCCAAAAGCCGGTGCTTCGTATTTTGTAGTAATTTTGCAGTTGTATTTTTATCGTTTTTATTGAAACAGCATAGTAAATTTGTGTTTAAAAATTAAGAATTTTTTATTCCATGTGAAGTAGGAATTATTCTGATACATTGTTCAATATTATTGACATAGACAGGAGATATCTATTCACAGTTTTAACTAAGTTATATTTGAAGTTTTTGGTTTATAATAAGATTTCTTTTTCTATATTTATTTAGCCAATGATATATTAAATTTTACCTATACGACTGTAAAAGAAATAATATTCTTTAAAAAGTGCAATCGCGCATTAAATGAAATATTTCTCTGCAAATTTGAGTTTGATTAAAAAATTAAGCACAAATTATAAAAAGCGAAGCCGTTACGAACTATGCTATTCGATAAGTCAACCCTGGAAAGAAGACAAGTAATAACTCGCAAAAGTAAAATTGGTCTTCAGAGTTGATTAACTTTTTTGTTTATTTGACAAAAAATTCTTATGTACATCCATAGCAACAAATATGGTAACCCTTATTATATGAATACAGAAATAAGTTTTATTTCATTTCAATATATAAAAAGTTGGCTACTTTGAAGACCAACTTGGGTTTGCGGGTTGCTAACCTACGTCCATACGTGTTTGCTTTCTAGCGTTAAAGTGTAAAAAAAAAATATTCCTAGATCAAGACCGCCAAAATTTACTATTTTATGCAAAAATCACAATCGAATTGTAATAAGAGTAATCTGGTGGTGAATATGTTATGTTAGTACAATTCTGTCGGAAGATCCGTCAAGCGTATTACGGAAGTTTGCTTTAGTACGTTACTACGATTTATCCGTCAAGTGGGCAAGGTTTAAGTTACATCATATAAGTATTTATGTTCTGATGAGCCGCGAAGCATCTTCCATCAGATATTGAGTACAATAAACAGCCTCAGTTTAAGCAATTTTATTGAATTCCTGTAATAGATATTCAACCTTATTTTGTAGGTTTTTATAGGCGTTCCCATTAATTAAGAGTGGACAACCATCTTTTTTCCTAGAACATGTCCTTCTACTAAATAAATTTCGTTTAAATCAAATCGAAAACGGATCGAAACCGAACGAAATTACAGTTTTCAACGGTTTTCTATTCTACTAAGTGACATACGATACAATTCCAGCTAAAATAGAACTGGAATTGTATCGTATGTCACTTTGTAGAATAGGAAAACCATTAAAAACTGTAGTTTCGTTTGGTTTCGATCCGTTTTCGATTCGATTTAAACAAAATTTTTTAGTAGAATTGGTCCCCTGGTTTTGGTAGTGTCTGAACTCTTTTTGGTTGTTATAGCGAATGACTGCGTCCTTTATTTAAAACTGAATTGGGTCTCCAGCTTACATGTTGGTTTTCGTAACTTGGGGTTGGCAAACCAAATAAGTGATATGCAATGTCTTGATAGGTACATTGCATATCATTTTTTTATCTAGTATAGTAACAAAGAAATGATAACGACTGATTAATAGGTGACTGTAACATTGCAGAATGTGAAATAAAATTATTTGCTTTACTTTATTTAAGTTCAAATACTAGCTTTCCGCCATCGGCTTCGCGCGCATGAATCCTAGGGAACTCTTTAGTGGAATAAAAACTAGTTTAGGTAGGTATATGTAAATTCAAGCACCAAACCAAATATAATCAAAATGCGTTCGGTAGTTTTTGCGTGAAAGAGTAACAAACATACAGAAATGTACATACTTCCTCACAAACTTTCGTATTTACTTACATAGAAAAAATATTAGGTAGTACCTATTAGCATAAAATGAATACCCAGTTAAACCTACACAATAGGTAAATATGTTTTAAATTTTCTATACAAAGAAAACTAATTTGATTCTAATGTCGAGACAAATGGTAAGAAAAGTCGAAAGAGTAGGTACTAAAGATAATTTGAATATTGCAATTTTATCATATCAGCCGTAGATACTGTAATAATCTGATGTCTGTCTATTATCAGGGTTCATATTTAACATCTAGCGACTGCAGTATTTATAAAATAGAATTTAATCTTATCTATGTTGAGAGCTGAATCGCATTCTGTGGCGAGTATAACTTTTAGTCAAATTTACGTCACAAAACAGGCACGATAAAACAAGTTTCACGAAACAATTCAATGCGATCGCCACATTTTTTTAAGTAAAAGGTACGTGGTATTTCAAAAAATATGGAAGATTAAAAGTACTAAAAAGTCTGCAACAAGAGATAGCTAAACCACAACTAAAGTAAGTACATAAATGAAAAATTTAAGTTTAAATGCATCACATGTACCTATACATTGTTATTAGTGATGCGCCAAATATTCGTTTGATATTCGGTATTCTACTTATTCGGCATCTTTTTCACTATTCGTGTTCGGTAGAATTATTCGGTTTTGGTGCCGAATATATTCGGTTCGAGCAGGTATTTCTTTTTTCTTGGCTACCCGACACCGTATAGAACAATTAGACAAAACTTCTTAAGGATAATTTATATTGCCTGCGGTTGCCTGGAGGAAATTTCTCTTTAGCGACAAGGCCGCCGATTGTACAACTAAAGTTTATCAATTGTAATTTTTTTTCTACAATTTATGGTGTACAATAAAGAATTGATTCATTAATTCATTCATTCAGTCAGTCATTCATTCATGTAGCTTTAAATCATAAATATTCATTTTATAAACTATAGTTATTATAAAAATATAATAGAGATCAGAAAGAAAATATAAGAGAAGATCAAAATAAAAAAAAAACAAAATTATTTATTCAGTCTAGGCTATTACAAGCACTTGTGTGAAAGTCGAGAGCACTCCATCGGTTTGTAAATCTACGGCGGGAGACCTTGGGAGACCGGCGGGAGGCTACTTTTTTCTTCCTGTTTTATTTCATACAGAGCGTCAAGATTGAAAAATGACTTTATTAAAATATGAAATACTTTCCATTACAATATTAGAAATTATTAACGTCAATCGAATCACATTTCTACTCAAACAAGCTCACCGATAAATAATTTAATATACGTAAAAATAAGCCATATTTAACACCAAGCAGTGTTGTCGTATAAATATTCATTTACAGTATAATATCCTTTACTGAGAAAAATGTACTTATTAAAAGTTAAATGTACTTAAAAGTAAATATATACTTATTTTAGTATTAATAATTAATTCATGGTAAATTATGTTGTGGAAACACCAAGTACTCTGCTCTTTCCGGCAAAGGTCTATTAGGTTTTTAGGTGACTTTTATGGAGGAGGTTATACGTTTTACGGCGATGTATTTTTTTTTGTGTATGTTCATGGATTCTTCCGCGAATTGTTAACCGATTTTCAAAATTAAATTTTTATTTGACAGCTTGATGGACCGAGGCGATCCCAATTAAATTTTATCGAAATCCAATCAGTAATTTTCATTTTCTACTTGGAAAGGAATATTATTTGAGCATTATGTGGCGTCTAAGATAGCAAATTCGACAAAAAGGCCTGATTTGTGGAAATAAATTCTTGGATTTGCATCACAATAATGCGCCATCGCCATTAAGGCCATCATTGTGAACGACTTTTTGAGCAAACACTCAACAAATACCATCAAGCATACCATATTCACCAGATATGGCTCCAGTCAATTTCTTTATTTTTCCTAAGCTCATATTACCACTTCGTGGCACCAGCTTTCAATCAGTAGAAGACATACAGGAGTATTCGCAGCGAGAACTGAACTCAGTTCCGGAAACAGCGTTTCAAAAATGATTTGGTGATTGGATTATTCGTTGGCGTAAGTGTACCGTTTCTGAAGGAGCATACTTTGAAGGTGATAAAATAAATTTGGATAAATAACAAACAATTTGTGTACTATTGATCTCTTCTCAGTATATTTTTTATGTAAGTAGGTATGTTTATCGATTTCTTCTTGAATTGTGAACCAATTTCGGTTATTCGGTGAAACCAATATTCGGTGCATCTCTAATTATTATGTGTTCACATAATTATACATAATGTCAATTTAGAGATTAAGCGATGTCTTTTTTTCAATTAATAGATACTTTACACGATTATATCAAAATCTGTCACGACCGCAAACACCTGACAACAATTTTATCTGATTATGACGTAGTGTATGATAACAATTGGTTGCCAATGGTTCATATTTCGCAATTGATTTATTTTTGGATTTACATTTAGAACTCTTCGGTTCAACTCTTCTTTTTATAGAAATAGAAATCTACTTAATGTATGCGTTACAGGAATAGAATCACAAACCTTTGCCAGACATTCTATTCTTTAAAAATATAGCGTCGTATTCGTCGTTGAGCCCAGCGCTGTCACGTTATAAGAGCTTCGATGTAGAAGTAGGTTTATTCGATTGAGAGGTATATGGGGAGTCGGCCTGCGTATGCGGGTGAGGGGGTTTCCTTTGTGGCTCTGGTTGTGGCGGCCGGACCAGGCGGTACCATTACTGGGGCTGCGTAGAGCAGCGACGTGCCGGTTGATGAGGCCTGATAGCGCCCTTTTCAGGGCTGTAGTCGGTTCGTACATCCGGCGGTAGTTGCAATCGTAGGGGGGGAGGGATCTACGTTAAGGGCTCTGCCTCTGTGGGTCCTCCCAATAGACGGGTAAGAGGGACCGGAGCTGTACAGTTGCGCCGGTCTCTAGTCGGGGGCAGCTGGGGGCAGCTGGCCAGTTTGCGTGCTGGTCGGCATTGCACGCTTCTGCCTCGTCTGGGGGGTGCGTCTCGAATGTAACCGCGCGGTGTATGGCCTTCGGGCTGGTCCCGTGCATCGCCTTCCATGCGAGGGACATCGCTGAGTTTTAGTGGGTAAACTCCTGCTTCTTGTCTAGCCTTCTTGGGGGTGGGGCCGCAGGAGGAGTCCCACATAACCCGTGAAGCCCGCGCTGGGTGTAGCGGGATGCGTAAGGCATTTCTAAGCGTCAAAAAAAAAGGTTTTATTCGATTGAACCTCTATGCTGTAACATGCTACGTGCTATGTTCAACGAAGAGTTTATAAGAGAATATCACTGAACATCGAATCAAAGTACCAATACAAGAAAATTTTGCACACTATTAGCTGTTTTTCCGCGACTTAGCCCAAGTAATTTGTAGTCCATGTCACTGCGTATGACGTAGCTTCACGTAGGTAGAAGAATTTTCATGATCGGATCAGTATTTTCGAAAATACTAACATACGAAGTTCCTTCTATTTATAAACATCTTTTTAATAATAGTATAGATGTAGCATAGCATTAACCTCCTTTTTATAAAATTCTGGGGAAATGCAACCTTAAGCCTTAAACCAAGGCTCTTCGACCCCGCACCCGTCTAGAAAAGGACAGACTTAAGCGAGGCCGGTCTACTTGTTAAATCCCGCTGCGAGTATAATCCAGGCGTAGCACCTGGGATCCGGCAAGGAGCCCGCCGGTTCCAACCCTACAGCAATCAACTCCTAGGTCATCACATGATTTTTCTCGTGGCACCGTCTTTTAATAAGGGAATGCAATCTCGTCAGTGAGTTTCGTCAATTACGTGATCTCGCGAAATTGGCAATTTCGTGTGTTTACAATTTAACTGTAATATTTATTCAAATCACAATATTTGAATATTCTGATTTCAATTGACCTATTTAATAAAAAACGAAATGAAATATACAACCAGTGTTCTCTGCGAATATCCAACAAAAGTTTAATTATAATACACAGTTTTTATAACAAAAATACAAAATAGATTAACTAAGTTGAATTGACTATTAAAATTAGATTATTATCAATGAAAGAAAACTATTTGTACCCAGAGATTTATTAGAATTTAGAGAATAGATTAACAAAATATACCAATCAATTTAAAGGCTTATTCAGTTCACTTCACACGTCATTATTATGAATAATTTTGAAAGTAGCTTCTTAAGAAGCACAAAATGTCCAAAGAATCTTTGCTATTCATCTAATTATTGTGCTGGCCAGATAACCAAACACTGAGGAGACCCTTTAGAAAACACAAGTACTGTAAAAGTGTAAAACTTCGCCTTGAAACCCCCCGGAC